AATTGTTATTTTCATTGCTCTTATTGCAGACCAAGTGATGTTGGATTGAGCCAGCCAGTGCCCTCTGCAGATGATACCAGTTCAGAATCAAGTGAAAGTAGTGACAAAGCCTTACTGGTAGAGAAAAGACAGGTACAACTCAAAAACCACATTTATTTATTTTATATGAGATATTTGTTTACACTGTATACTTGGAATTTTCTGATTTTCTTTTTACAAGATTGAAAAGCCATAAATATAAAAATTAAAGGAGATGTGGTATTAACAAGGAGACAACTATCCAACAGAGAGCAAAGGACGGAGATGTAAACAAGTAGAGTAAAACCAGACCGTATAATATTAAATAAGCTATAAAAAGGCCTCTCTGCATGACAAAATGTGAAACACTGCAAATACAGAAATCCAATTGTCCGTTATGGGCTAAAAAAAATAAATGGAAAAACAAATATTGCAGAGAGCAACCAACGACAACCACTGAATTGTAGGCTCCTTTTAATTTTTATGCTTTATCACATTTCCCATGTAGAACATCTTAAATGTGCATATTGATGAACAGTTTTATCCTTAATTAATTCTGAGAAAATAGAACTGTGTGGATATTTAATATTTTACTAAAAGCATGTTCAGAGTATGTTTTTTAAAATCTTGTCAGCATGAAGAGTTACCATTCAAAAAATTTTTTATCACAAAATTGTTTTTCTTCTACTTTTCCTTAAAAGGATAGTAAAACTTTATACCTAGATAAAAGTTTAACAACCTGACACGTAAGAAGTTTGTAGTTTTTGGTAAGATATAACTGGAATCATTGTTCACAATCATTGTGTTGTACACACCGGGGAGGGAGGAGGGGGGGGGGGGGGGGTGTCTCAACATGGGATTTTGGGTACAGTTGTGCAGCTGGGATTTAAAAAACACCCCCCCATTCATATATTGAATAATTGTGAAATCCCTACCTTTACATATATTTCACAGCGAAATCATAACCCATTGATATATTTATCAGCTCAAAACTTGTGTCAATAAGTTTCAGCAGATGTGAAAATTTTAATGACAGAGTTTGGGAAATTCAGTGAAGATCGTTGTACAACAAACTGAAAAATTATGACCCATTGATATATCACAATTGGTCAATTACTACCTATTGATATATTTCCTCGGTAAAATTGCACCCCATTGATATATTTGACGTATCAAAAAAGGGACCCATTCCAGCGTCACATATGTATATACCTTCATACAGGAAGAGACCCCCGTGGTTGTACATATTCTTCAATTTTTAAGATACATACAGAAACAGTTCTGTTATGAATGAAACTATATTTATACAGAAAGATAATGAATTATTCTTCAGTATTATTCATAAAGAAATGTCCTGAAACCTTTTCAACAGCAATGGAAAATATTTTTTGTATTTGAGAGAATTTAAGCATGAGATGTGTCGTATAGAAATTGACCTTATGCAAGTGCATGTATGATGTATAAGACTTTGATTGATTATAGAACATTCAAATACGAAATAAAAATTGAATTTTGGTCTGTTTTGTAGGGTTCTTATATCAGCTCAATTTTTAAACAGTTACAAACTTTACATAGAGATTTTTTCAACCCGAAATAGGTTAACATATGTATTGGTTATCATTTTCATAAGGTTGATTTCTATCAGACACAGCTCACATAATTTTACATTGAAGGATTATTGCCTTATTCAAAGTATTTTTTCTTAGAAATCAGTTACTTAATAGTGTGTAATCCAACAATTTTTTTCTCAAAGCAAGGCATTATTCTGTTACTGTCCAGCAACCAATACAATTCTCAGTATTTATCTACCTGTAAAAAAGTATGCATTCTTTTGTTATGAATGGAAGGTGAAAAAAGGGGAGGAGTAAAGCCATTGGGGTGATTCTGACATCCCTCGGATGTGAAAAGGGAAAAGTTCATATTTTCATGGAAATGAGAGTGGCTCACTAGTATATAGGAAAAAAAGTTAGCAGATATGACTAACAATATTATAGCTTGCACCATGACAAATAATAATTTGATAAAATGCTCAAATATTTTATTTTAGAAAGGAGGTGGTCCTGTTGGTTCATGGATTGCTAAATATAATAAATTTTCTGACAGCCAGTCTTTCACCAGTTTTAAGGTTAAAAACACTGTAGTCTAGATCTCTAGTGATAATTGTATCCACTGCATGGGTTAACTCCCTTTTTATCTAATTTACATCATTTAACATCACTTTGTTTCAACTTTATTCCTGTTTTTTTTCTTTTACTAAATACATTTTTCTGTGAAAACAAGCTTTTTAATTCACTAATATACTTCAGAACATTTTGTTTCGTCCTGAATAATATCAATTATCATGATTCTGCCTTACAAGTGCCTAATAGACAAGATCTTAAATGTATATCTTTGTGTATCAAAATTTCTCTAATAACATGGATAGTCTCCTTAATATTAGATTGTGTATGCATTAGTCGCTGTTACAGTTACACAATCTTTTTATTTATGCTTTCTTTTACTTGTATATATTTATATGACATATGCATATAAGAATATTGTAGACACATTTGTTGAGGTAGAATGTTGTTGATTTCCCTTTAGATGTGATTTATGTTGAGCCTGTGACGATAGTCACAAAACTTCAGAAGCAAAACATAGCTATCCTACATTCCCTCATCATAAGCATTGTCAACATTTAGGTTCATGATGTATCTAGAGTAAAACTTTGAAAATATTTTTGAGTATTTTTCAGATAGCTTGAATTTATTTTTATTTTACCAGCTTTTTATTGATAAATTGACTTAGTTTTTGGTAGTCAAAATAAACATCCAAATGTAATGCTTGAAATAATTCATAAAACTGTTTACAATGTTCCTACTGGTCTGTTCTGACAATGTGTTTTTTATTATCATTGTTCTTTTTAGTATGCTTAGTGGATATTTTATTTAAAACCTACAATTATATAATTTACTTCCATTAGGTCAACTATAGTACTATTAACTGTAAACAGGTAATGGTAACATTACTTTTATTACAAGTGTTCCAATTATAAACACCTCCTTGAATTCATTCTGCATTGTATATCAGCTTTTATTCCCTTTAATTGAATATACAATAGTATATAAGGTTTTGCTTGAATTTTCTCTCATGAAAATTAGACCTATTATAGTGCTTGAATTGTCTCCCAGGAAAATTAGACCTATTATAGTGCTTGAATTGTATCCTAGGAAAATTGGAATTTTGTAGTTTATTTTCTTTCACTTTAAGAATTTTATTTTCAAGCCTTCCTTTTAAATGCTTTATCCAATACATTTTATCCTGCAGTCTTATTATGTAACTGAATTAAGTAGTGTAGTAAGTCTTTACCCTATTAAATGCAGACACAATGACATTCTTTTCAGTCTTTTTGCACAGAAATTTAATATTACTTCTCTTATGGTTGTGGTCTGTTATCTATTTCTCGCATCAGGAGATATTTCTTGTATCACACTGCACAGAGTGTAATACAAATAAACTGCACAGAGTGTAATACAAATAAACTGCACAGAGTGTAATACAAATAAACTGCACAGAGTGTAATACAACTGCACAGAGTGTAATACAAATAAACTGCACAGAGTGTAATACAAATAAACTGCACAGAGTGTAATACAAATAAACTGCACAGAGTATAATACAAATAAACTGCACAGAGTGTAATACAAATAAACTGCACAGAGTGTAATACAAATAAACTGCACAGAGTGTAATACAACTGCACAGAGTGTAATACAAATAAACTGCACAGAGTGTAATACAAATAAACTGCACAGAGTGTAATACAACTGCACAGAGTGTAATACAAATAAACTGCACAGAGTGTAATACAAATAAACTGCACAGAGTGTAATACAAATAAACTGCACAGAGTATAATACAAATAAACTGCACAGAGTGTAATACAAATAAGAGATAGGAAAAATGTGTTAATTTGATCAGCTTATCCAGCACCTTGAAACTATATTGCTATTGGCTATTCATTAGGGCATTGATAACTTTCTAAGGTCAAAACAATTAACATTTCCTTCATTGCAACAGAGATACCTAAATGTCACCATTAACAGTAGACGTGACATCATGAACCCCCTATGAAATTTACTAACCCCCTACGGATCCATAGGGGGTCACCATGTGACGGCGTTAAACCAATCACAACGTGATAATTTACCCGCGGTGCGATAATATATAGTATATTGGTGTTTGGAGAATTGTTTTTTTTCTTTTGATTCATTATTGAAAAACATTGCAAATAAGTCAAATAAGTCATCTGTGTGAAAGCAAGGAGATGTGGGATAAGGGACAAGAATACATAATCATAATCACAAAACTTTTCCAAAAATAAACAACTAGTAATCTGCATTTATTTGTCAATGATTTACAAGCCCTACAGCTACAGCAAACCTAGACAAAGAGTCAACTCACAGTTTAATGGAACTGTTTTAAAATGACCAAAGAGCGTATATCACCACCTCAACCTTCTTGACCATCAAACTGTGGCTTTGATACCATATTAATATGTTTCATTTATGTGACAAAAATGCTTACACATATACATGTACTGCTTTAGCAACATTGCATACACACATTTATATTACTTATTAGAAATAAATGGTTCTTGTTAAATAGAAAATTAACACTTATTTGATAGCTTGGTCAAAGGGCAATGGTCAAAAACACCTCACAGCATTACTGCAAAGTAGTCAATTGAATGATTTTTTATTATGAGGGGATCTGCTTTGTACCTTGTGCTTTTATGTAAGATAAAATATATATTGAATGTTTTTGCTTGTTTTAGATTAAGGTTAAAAAAGGGGAACTATATAGACACTCTAGTTAAAATTTGATACATGCATTCATGTATTCATTCACTCCTATATGTAAATATGTATATTTTGCTTTAACATTTTAATGATCTCATTTCTTTTTATACCTATCTTCTTGTATAAAATGTAATATAACTTATATTTCAGAGTGAAAGTGATTTGAAATACTTTGATTATCAACACATCAGATATATTTGGGACCAAGGAGCACGGAACTTCCATAAATTGTTGTAAGTTTACAATTAGGAATTTAGAATGGGCCTGTACTATAAAAAGTTTTTGATAACTTATAGACTTTAGTCAGAAACCATTATCAACAATTTTAAGTTGATAAATTTTGTGTTTGATTGTAGAAAGTTATATTAGAAAATGTAATAAAAATGTCATGTTTTCAAAAAATCTCGAAATTGAAATCTGTGTGCATAATATGTTCTAAACGTTAGAAACACTACGTTTTATTTTGTTGATATCTTCTATGATTTGACTTACTAATTTACATGAAAATCTACAGCTCCAAGGATAAAAGAAATAATATAATGATGTGCTTGAGAAGTTTAATTTTAATCAGATACAGTCCTAGTGGAAAATTTTAATTATATCTCACTTAAAAAAAACATTAAATCCAATTTATTTTACAGAGATTTGTCGTCCAATGTATCATGCATTTCTATACAAGAAGATTTCCAGGGATTTTCCGTAAAAGAACAAGAACAAAAGTAGGTGTACAGTGAATAGATATAAGAAGATGTGGTATGAGTGCCAATGAGACAACTCTCCATCCAAGTCACAACATGTAAAAGTAAACCATTATAGGTCAAAGTGAGGCCTTTAACACGGAGACTTGGCTCACACCGAACAGCAAGCTATAAAGGGCCCCAAAAATGACTAGTGTAAAACCATTCAAACTTGTATTAACTAAACGTAACACAAACAATCAGAAACCTGACTCAATTGTACCTTCTGTGAAGGAGAAATCTGTCTTATTTAGATCATTGAGAAATTTTTTTTAAAATCAGTTTCACAATTAAACTTTTTTTCATACTTTCACTAAAGATGAAGTGGACCAATCTTAATAAATATAACTTAAAAAAACTATAGGTAGGTATTAATACAAGAAAGTTTTATAAAATTTTGTTGCTTTTTCGTGTCAAATTTACCATGTTGTCAATTTTGTAAATTTGAGATTTTTCTCTTCTTTTTGGAACAAAAAGCATTTATTTCATCTTCTTTGTTATAAATGATTGAAAAATCTAAGAAATTTGAAAAGAAAAAATTGATATGGGATGTACATGTATCTGGTTAAATCACTTCTTGTACCTCTCACCCATTTTCTCAACATTTTGGCTAATGAGACTGACTTGATTGGTTAATAAATAAATTTGGTATATTTACTGTCTTCTGATTGGTTAAAAGTATTACCTTTATTTTCAATGTTGTCAATTTTTATGGCGACACGCCCACTCTGACGTTGTGTATTCATACGCCAACATGTGTGTACGTTGTTATTGTTAATATAAATAATATAAAAAGCTCTTTGAGCCTTATTTTTGATAGAAATTTATTTATAATGAATGACAATAATTTATTTTGAATTTATTGAACCATAAAATTAATTTTTGACTCTTCACATTTTACATAATCTGCTTTGCGGATTATTCAATGTGAAGAGTCAAAAATTAATTTTATGGTTCGATAAACTCAAAATAAATAATAGCCATTCATTAATAAAATTTGAAAATTTTATTACTCAAAAACTACTTATTGTAAATACACATTTTTTTTCACAGAGTTAGTTTGAATATCAAATTTTAAAATTCATTTATATTTTCAACTTGTATCACATGTTTTGGAAATAATTCCAGAACGGGATATCAACGAGACTGAAACATCAGAAGAACATTTTTAACTTTACCTGCTTCTGTAAAGGAGAAATCTGTCCTATTTAGATTCTCAAGCAACTTGTTTAAACAGAACCCTGTATAAACAACTAGAAACCTGACTTAATTGAACCCTTGATAATAGAGAAATCTGTTTTATCTAAATTCTGAGAAAGTTGTTTAAACTGAACTCTGCATAAACAGGTTTAATAAAACCCTCCATACACCAGAAACCTAACTCAACTGAACAATCTATAAACCAGAAATATGAATTAACTGAATCCTAAAAAAAGAAGAAACTTATATTTTCTTAATTTTCTGAAAACCTGTCTAAACTGAGCCCATGATAAACCAAAAACCACAAAAAAACCAGAAACCAGTCTAATCTGAATACTCTGGTACCTGTCTAAACTGAACTTTTATAAACCAGAAATCTTTATATAAATGGAGAGCAGTAGTTTGATTGCCAGTAAGACAAATATTCACAAAAGACCAAAGGACAAGGATGTGAACAACTCTTCATAAACCAGAAACTTGCCTAAAATGAAGTCTTTTATAAACCAGATTCTGTCAAAACCTCCTGGTTTACCAGAGAACTGCATTAACTGTACCCTCCACATACCAGAAACCTGTATAAACTTAACCTTTCATATAGAATGTGATATTTTGTAGGAGATTGGTATATGGTGACAATGTTATAGATGTAGATGTGAAATCATATGGTAAACTTTTTATGGAAGAAGTAAGTAAAGATACCTTTAGGTTCATATCAAACAACATTACATAAAAATTCAAATATTGAGACTCTGGGATCTTGAGATTATGGCTGTATAACAAATGTGAGATTGGGTTTACTACTATCCAGTTTACTCAAGATTTTACAGTATAAGGACCAAGGATATATTAACCCCTCAGGCTTTTTCTGTGACAAGAAACCCCTTTTTTCCCTAGGTTCCTGGCTTGGGATAGACAAGTAAAGAGTTTGGCAAGGTTAAACATGAATGTGAGGATGCATCCTCCACCCTAACCTGGTACAGAGGTGTATAAATACAACATAAGAACAAATTGTAAAAATCAGTTGGAACAATCTTGACTTATCAGATTAGTACTAAGCACTAAAACTAAAAGACAAAAAAACATAAAGTACCAATCTAAGAGTACTACTGTGTGGGTGAAATAGAACGTGATCCTGTGGATATGGTGTATGCCCATATATTTTACAGTTATGGTCATTTTGCCTGTGAGAGAGCTGTCTACTTTCTTGTGGATAGTTTTCTCATTGGAAGTCATACTAAATCTTCTTATTTTGTATAACTAGTTTTTTTTCCTTATTTTTGCTGTCATATTTTATGTCATGTTGTATTAATAGATTATTTGCCATATTTAATGTCATGTTTTTGTTGTTGCCATATTGAATACTATGTATAATAGAAAAACAAAGGAAATGGGGTATCCATCCATGAAACAACAAAATCAGAACATGCACAGAAAAAAACACACAAAAAGCAAAGGAACAACCCTTTTATTGCTTTTCTTCATCTCAAAGTCACAGTGAGGCCTTCAACACGGAGCAAAAAACTCACCTCGTTGCAAGTTTAAGACATCCCCTAGCACTGGTTTGAGTGGAATTCTTTGCAAAATAATTCTGATAGACTTTGTAAGTGGAACACCACCAAATCGGACCCGATCAAAAAGAACATACTGAAAGTAGTACATATTTAAAATATAATAGTTCCTATGCATAGTAGTGTTAGTTTTGTTGCCATATTTGATGTCATGTTGTTTTTGTTGCCATATTTGATGTCATGTTGTTTTTGTTGCCATATTTAATGTAATGTTGTTTTTATTCCAGGTGATCAACCCATTTTACATCTTCCAGATTTGCAGTATTATATTATGGAGTTGTGATTCGTATTATATATATGCTTCATGTATAGCCTTTATCTCACTGGTTTCTATAGCTGTTTCATTATATGAAACCAAAAGGGTAAGACAAATATAGATTTCAGTATTATTTAATAATACAGTATTATGATTTGAAGAGTGCAAATTTTTTTCACAGAATTCAGAGAAACATTTAAATTTTAGACCATCAACACAAAGAGTTAAAATTAAAGTCATAAAATCCTTCAAATTTAACAAAAAAGATGAATAAATACTTCAATGGCTTAGATGTGGAAATAGACTTTCTTTTAAAAGAAAATCTTTTATTTTATTCAAGTCTTCTCATACTCTTAATTGGCAGCATTTCCGTACAGGGCTTCCAAAATTTTTTTGAGCCAGCCGGACATTTCATATCTTATCCCGATTTTAAATCCCTTTAGACTTAGTAAATTAGGCAACTATGATAATCAGTTGGCCATCATATATGATATAACCAATGATTGACATTAAAACGATATTAAACTTTACTTTGATATAAATTCGATGTTCTGACGTAAAGTGTTAAATTGAAAGTGCAGCATTCGAAGTGTGCAACATCGGCGTACTAATTCTGCCTAATTCCGCTTTAGACTCTTTATTTGTGTTGACTTTACAATGGTAAATCACGGATCAGAGACAAATATCGGTGTAAGTTTACGATTGAGTAAAGTAGCCTTTTCAAGTTATTTCTTCAAGAAAATACTCGAAATGAACATTAGATAAAGGTATCAATGATAATTTTAGCATTATTGAAGAATTAGGATGCATAATAAAATGTCCCACCAGCGGACAATAGACACATGCGCACACGTGTACTAGTTCAAACAACATGGTTTTGACGATTATTCGTTTAAAACCTTTTCAAATTTTTCATCAAATCATATTTATTAACGTATTTCTTATAATTTCAATCTTTTAGACTAAATTAGTTAGATGCAACCTGCTGAAATGTAAGAAAATAACTTTGAATACCCTTTAGCGTACCCCAGTATTTAACACGATGTACAGTGTTTTTAAATATAATAATGAATATCATACAAATTCGAATTCATTTATAAATATTCTTATTTGAAGAATTATTTTAAAATCTAAGGATACTTTTTTAAAACTGAATGCTCATTTACAATAATATCTACAAAGCGTAATTAAATAGGATGTTGTTCCATACACGCTTACATGTTTGACCTCGTTTACCTGATCACCTTTATGTTCATTGTTATGCATCATCAATTCTATTGATTAAGACAAGCTAAGGTCTCTCATCAAAGGTAATTGTAATCAGTGAATGATTTATGGCTTCAATATTACTTATTGAAGGGATAATTGTTTGACAGCTTGTTGTTTTTTAAATAAAAGAACAAATGTTTTTTTCTACTTTTTATTGATGTACCAAGCCGTGCATTTGTGTGCCCAGAGGATTAGACTAACTGAGACACTTCAAAGTATGAAATATGCTTCATCAGTTTAATTAAACCCAAATATGACCGAAATATCTTTGTGAAATAGATTGCCACAATTATAAACTATAATGCCCAAACGGACATTTTTAGCGATCGATAGTTGGTAAAAAAGTGAAATGACTGTTTTATGAAAATGCCTTGAATAACAAAAAGTGGCAAACCCATGATATTTGACCGTTTGAGGCTGAGAGCAGCCGGACTTTTTACATAAATTTCGGTCAAGTCCGGAATATATGACCGTTTTGGAAGCCATGTTTCCGTATGCAGTAACCTTAGCCATGAAACCTCTCAAGAGAAATTCTGCAATTGCACAGTGCAAGTACAAATGGAAAATCGTGATTGAGAAAAAGTAAACAAACATGGAAAGAAGATAGTATTATCTGAATCTGAAAGAAAACACATGGAAAATATAAAAAATAAAAATAAATATTGCTTCATCATCCCACTTACTAGACACATGCTCCATGTTTCTGTGTTGATGTTTATCAAGGTCACTATCACCAAAACCTGAAAGTTAAAAGGATTAACAATCACTGGCTGAAATACTTTTGTTGATAATGATTGTACATTATAAATTGGTAATAAATGTAAGACAAAACCAAGCACATAGGACTTTAATAGTTAAGTATATACAAATACATAGGTTCAATAATTTCAGTAACATTATAATAACCAGAAACTTGTTTCATGTAATTTTAAAATCTGATGTTAGTTATGAATAATTCAGTATTGTGAACTGTTATACACCTTTTAAAGCATAATTTATTTCTCCATTTCAGCAAAGCATAACTTTACATAATATGGTAGCATTCTCATCATCGACAATCAGTGTATGCAGAGGTGGAACAGGTAAGAGATGTTCCATTTAATTGGAAGGGGAAGGAGAAGGGTAGAATGGGACTTCCAAAATCCCCCAACAACCAACATACTTTTTTGATTCATTTTTACATACGTCAAATGGACTAACAGCCATAAATGACCCTTGGACTGACGTCCAGAAATAAAACTCTCCTTCCTACCCTCGCACATTCATTTTAAAATAATAGCCCCAAGGTGAATTAATTTGGACACCTGAAAAACATGATTGGTAAATTTTTGGAGGTAAATCATGATAGAATATATGAATAAAAAGGAGATATTGGGTATACATCACAAACAGAAGGATAGAAATAGAAAAGACATCTAGAGGTTTATATAGACATATATTTCAATAATAGAAACCTGTCTGTACTGTAAATAAGCCATAAAAAGTCCATAGTTTCTTTGTATCATACCACTAGAAAAAACAGGGCACACACATATAAGCATATATGGATCCTTAACTGGCACAAGAGATCATCTGTCTTAAAAAAGGTACATGTATGAAATTAAGAATGCTTTAAAATGGATACTTTGTTAATACAAATGCAATTGGATATTTTGAATAAGCTTGAGTGTTCCCAATGACAATACATCCAGAAGAGTACTTTAAATGAAATTATGCGCTAACAGTTCTGGGTTTGAAGAGTTACTGTCAATTGGTGATTTGACGGTTGCTAATGCAGTTTAACTGGTGAAACTGAGCTGAACTGAGACAAAAAGACAGATATTTGCTACTGTCTGATTCTAATGCAATTCTTGTCAAATGTTTTAAAAACTTTTAAAATATCTATGAAATGTCAATTGCTATTGTGCAATGTTCTTCCAAATGACTAACCTTCAACCGCTGAATTGACAGCAAATGTTATCCAATTATAAATAGTGTTACATATCATATTGCATTATAATATATATTTACAGCATATGAAGATGTTCCAGTTAGTAATTTAGTTCCAGGAGATCTTATATCTATACCACATAATGGTTGTACTATGACTTGTGATGCAGTCCTAACAGCAGGGACATGTATCGTCAACGAAAGCATGCTCACAGGTATTGTATTTACGAAGGTTAACAGAAATTGATTGTGCTTGATTGCAAACTTCTGTCAAACTTCAGCACCATCTGTTAGAAAGAGGTATTAGTTATTTTTTCAAAGAAAAACAGCAGCTCAACAACACAAAAAACTGAAAGACATCTGTATGTCTGACATGTATAATAATTTTATACTGAACAATATTTCATGCTCTAATTGGAAAAATATTTTTAATTGAAACTTTTTAAGGGAGTCAAAGCAAACAAGATGCAAACAGTAATTGAATATAATCAAACATACTGTTAATTCAAAAATCTTTGTGACATGATAGGTTTTACAATAAAAACCTGCATGCATTCTAAATATTGATAGCATTTTTTGTAAGCAGCATCTCCTGAAATCACAATAATTATCATCACATTTTCATGTTCTGTTAAAAATTTGCAATAATAAATGCACACAAACATTTCTAAATTTACAGTAGAAGGCTTTTACAATCATTTATTTTAAAAAATATGTGAAAAATTTTCAATTTTTTTTTCTCAAAAATATATGGTTGTTATAATGTCTTAGAAATCATCAATATCATTAGAAAGTATGCCAACTGAATAACCAAATTACCATGTGTCTATTATTTCTGGATGTCACAACCATTTTTGTAAATTATGAAGTCACTGGAGAAAATGTTGAATGACCTCTGAGAGCAAATGTGCTTGTATGACATCAATAGGTCAAAATCTTAGGTCAAGTGTCTCATAATTCCAAACAGCAGTAAGGGCTATGACAATTCATCTCAAATTAAACCAATTTAAAAAATGTTTTTTTTTAATATTAATAAAAGTACATTTTTCTGTTGTCATTATTTTTGCAGGAGAAAGTGTTCCTGTCACTAAAACACAGTTGTCTCACCAAGAGGACTCAGAAGTATATTCTGCTGATCTACATAAACGTCACACATTGTTTTCTGGGACCAAAGTTTTACAGACCAGATATTATGGTCATGCCAAAGTCACTGCTGTTGTTGTTAGAACAGGTAAATTCACAAAATATCACACTGTTTTTTTGGAAGTAGAATTTTACAGAATACACAATATGGTCAGGCATAAGTAACATCTATTTTTGATGAGTTTTTGATATAGATGAACTTACTTAAGCAAATATGTCCATTGAATCAGGATATCTTGACCAAGATCATCGTATACAATATATCAAGTTACTGCCTTTAATCTGAAACTGTGCATTGTATTATTTTTAATTCTGAAATCCAAAAAACTGTGTAAAAATACAAACTATTTTTTGGTCAGTTCTCCATATTTTAAGTCATCTGAAAAGACGCATTTGAAACTCCTAATTTTAATTTTATGGGCATTAATCAGTGGGAAATACAGATTCAAATTTTAAAGTGCTCAATAACAATCTTTCACATTTTAGAAAAATTCTATAAAAATTATTCAAATGGTTACTATAATCAGTTAAAGAAAACTTTCTGAAAGTAAGTAAGTATTGCAAATCTATAAGAAAAAAATATTTTCATTTCCTTGAGAGACAAGAATCAACGATCTAAAGTAAGTTTTCTTGTGCTTTAAATTAGATTATGACATTCAGTTAAGTTTGTTTCTGTAAAATAAAGATTAGAAAATTTATGAAAAGGAATATTATTTAACCACAATGTTGAATACCTACTTTAATTGTAAACAAAATTAAATCATACTGACATTTTGGATTTGATATTTTATAATAGAGTGAGGCTGTACTGCATTCACTGTCTATCTATCTGTTCATTCTTTCGAAATTTTTTCGTCACCCTTTTCTCAGGTACTATTGAACAAAATGACTGTATTTGGTCAGCAGGTTGACAGTGATGAGTTGTAATGTATGAGCATTGTGGGATATATCAGACACCTACTTCCTGTTTGAATGGACTTTCAATTTCCAGTAGGGGTATGCTCATGATTATAATGATTGATGTTTTAATGATATTTTATAGGTTTTAAGACTGCCAAAGGAGAGTTAGTTAGAGGAATTCTGTACCCTAAACCTCTAGGATTTAAGTTTTACCAGGATGCAATGAAGTTTGTGTTGTTTCTAAGTGGTATAGCTTTAATGGGAATGACATATAGTGTTGTAATACTAGTCAGAAAAGGAGTAAGTTGTTTTATAGTGAATAGATAATTAAAAGATACTATAACAAACACTGTTTCTTGCACTTATCATTTCTTGTGGTAAATGACTTGGACCATGATTACACACAATTAATGTTAAAACTTAAAATATCATACAGTTTATCATGCTTCATGAAATCAGAGTTAAATTTGACTACTTGGGAATCAACAAATTTGAGAGAAAAGTATATGACGCTAGCCACATTCAAATATTGTAAATTCAGAAATGCTTTTATTATTGCAAAAATTAAAACTGGCATTTTATATTTTGATAGCATTATTTGTATGCAGCATGTTCTTAAATTGCAATAATTAATTTCACATTCTTGGAATAAATTCATGCGATAATTTCTGATTTTACGTATCTGGGCCTTCTTGTTTGTAGTAGATGAAGTTGTCAAAATGGAATTAATGTTAAATTTTATGATTGTAGTAACACATTATTACATATTTGAATCAATGATAAAGTATGTTACACTATATCAGAGTGTAGATAGTAAGAATTTTTTATGATATATTTCAGGTTGTGATACCAAAGATAATTTTACGTGCCTTAGACATTATAACTGTGATAGTCCCACCTGCCTTACCAGCTGCCATGACCATTGGAACAGTTTATGCTCAAAATAGATTAAAAAAGACAGGAATATTTTGTATAAGTCCTCCAAGGATTAATTTCTGTGGCAGGCTTGATCTCTTCTGCTTTGATAAGGTTAGACTTTAAATAAAATTGATAGAGGTGTTAAAGAAAAGATAGATTAAGGATTTATTTCAAGTGTAGAATTTCATATGTAAGGTGACAGTGATGTCATGAACATGTCATTATGGCACATTCAACAAAATATTGCCATGACACAGGAATGATTTGACCTTTCCTTCTCCTTTTTTAGGTTAGAAATGTGAAACATATGGCTCTAGCTCAAAGTAGGAGTGATTTAAGTGCTTGAGAAGAACAACTTAATGCAGACTTTGTTTCAACCATAAGCATCTTTCTATGCCCCACCTACGATAATAGTAGGGGCATTATGTTTTCTGGTCTGTGCGTCCGTTCGTTCGTCTGTTTGTTTGTTAGACTGTCCGTCTGTCCCGCTTCAGGTTAAAGTTTTTGGTCAAGGTAGTTTTTGATGAAGTTGAAGTCCAATCAACTTGAAACTTAGTACACATGTTCCCTATGATATGATCTTTCTAATTTTAATGCCAAATTAGAGTTTTGACCCCAATTTCATGGTCCACTGAACATAGAAAATGATAGTGGGAGTGGGGCATCCGTGTACTATGGACACATTCTTGTTATATCCTCACTTTAGAAGTGGGGCTATATTGCAATCACCTTGTCTGTCAAATATTTTTCGTGACACTTTTCTCAAAAACTACTGAACTTTTCAAATCTGTCAGATACTGTCAACCTGTTTACTGATACTTTGAATTTTTCAATATGTTGAATGAACTTGACATTTTTTCATTACTTATTTCCCCAATACTTTTGAACAGAATGACTTTATATTTGGTCAGCTTCTAAACAGTGATGAGTTGTAGTTTGTGTGTGCTTTCAGATCTGTCTGACACCTACTTCCTGTTTTCTGATACTTTGAATTATGAGTGACAACTTTTGCATTCTTTTTCTTTATTCTTTTAGACAGGAACACTTACGGAAGATGGATTGGACATGTCTGGAGTTTTACCTGTTCATGATCAAAGGTAATAATTAAAAATGTGAAGATATCCAGCAACCTAAAAACACAATTAAAACAGAAGAAACAGCAAATATTGTTAACAAAACAAACTTATCCTTAAATCTATTAAGACATGCTTGAAACATTTATAGAAAATAAAACTATTAAGAATTAGAAAAAAATTAACAAACTCCTGAAAAGCTTTAGAAAACAGTGACAAAATCTCTTAATTCTATGGTATTATACTCTTAACATACATGATACCAATCGATTAATGGAATAAATAACTATGGTCTTAACCTTGTGTGGTGCATGTGCTTCCAAATAAGATTGGGGGTTGAACCAGTTTTTATGGTTCTAAATTTCTTACTACTATGTAAGGGAAATTAATTGTTTTTCAGACCTGACTACTTTATATCAATGTAACATATCGAAGTATTTAAGGTCAGGAAATATGTATCTCTTTCAAGAAAGTGTTTAATCAGGATTGTGCTGAATCACTTTTATCTGTTGACAACCAGACATAAGTGATGTCATGGCATGGAATTAGCTCTTGGGTGCCAAAGAACTTTACATAACATTCCTATTTTGTACATAAGTTAGGCCATTTCTTTTCTCGTTTGAATTTTTAAATTTTTTTTCATGCTGTGATGTTTTATAGCTTACTATACTGTATGGGTTAAGCTGGTAAAGGCTGCACGATGACCTACTGTTGCTAACATCTAAGTTATTTGGACTCTGGTGGATAGATGTCTCATTGGCAATTATACCACAGCTGATTCTTTTTATTTTTATATAGTTAAATGTCCTAAACTTTTACAGGTTTATTGGAGTGGTATACAACCCAGCAGAGCTAGAAAGAAACCATGTGATACAGTGTATGGCAACCTGTCATTCTCTAACATTGATCGATGGGGAATTGTCTGGTGATCCTTTAGACCTAATCATGTTTGAATCCACTAAATGGGTAAACTATATCTTATTATAGCTCGTTTGTAAGACATATACACATCTTAAAGCTTCTATTTTACTGTAATATCAATTTAGAAATAGATATATATCTGGGCGCTTTTTCAATTTCTTTCTTTTCATAGCTAAAGAATTAAAGCCAATTAAGGTAACCATTTGGGAAACACAACACAAGCAGGTACTTCTCTGTTTCCAAAATAAGAAAAAAAACCAAGTGTCTCTTTTAGCAGCATTAGGTAGACAGTACTTATGTATATAGCTTTACTTTGGATAGACGTGTTTTCTCCAAGAATTGCAATGTATTTCTCAAGTGCAGAAGAATTTAAAAAACAAAAGAATAAGTTACATTGCCTGAAATAGACAAAAAAAAATCCTCCACATTTTGTTTCATTTTCTTTTGTAGATTTTAGAAGAACCAGGCAGAGATACCAGTAAATTTGATACCATCATGCCGACTGTAGTCAAACCCTGTACAAAGGATACCTTCTTGTCTAATGCAAAAGAGGTTTGCTATACTATAGTTGAATGCATATTTAAAACTGATTTTCTTATTTAAAGATTTAGGTGGATTATTAAAAAACGAGTCATGTTCTACCTATTTTAATGGCTTACAGTAGAATATATATTTCTTTGCATCGCTTAAAGGGGCATTAGCTACGAGATATAAAAAAAAATAAAAATATGATTTTTTTTGGTTTAACCATTATTGAAAGTGAAATAGTGAAATAATAATTCGCTTTTAGCGGCCAGTTTGGTTCAATTTTGTCAAAATAAGCTAAGAAACATCGCTGATGAAAATATTCACTTGCAAGTGAATGATTCCACCTCATTGAATCCGTATTCATGTGACCTTCAATTTAACCCCTTAGCTAGAGATGGGTTAGGCATAAATTAGGCATGTTCAGCTATTAAAAGGAAAAGAATGTCAACATTGAAAGTGAAACAAGGGTAAACCAATTGGTTGACTGATTCGATCCATAAAAACTCATTGTTATACAGGTAAAAACAATGATTAATATATTTTTTAATCTATAATTTGAAATCAAACAGACCTAGAAAAATCCAATTGCATGTGTTCGCTATCTATTTATATCTATATTTATGTTTATATCAGGTTATAAAACCGTTGTCAGTCTTCAGAGGTCACCTCAATGGTTAATTAGATGGCGTCTAGACTAAAATACACACAAAATGTTCATACATATTATCGAGTCAATGCATCGTAAATTGATTATTTTAGACTTTTTATAATTTGGATATCCTTTTTATAAATTAAATATGAGAATTTGAGTCAAAGCCATGAACATGAATTTGACAGCTAATGCCCCTTTAAATGTATATTTATTTTTTTTTAATTTCCAAAATCTATTTTGTTCTTTGTAATAATAAGATCACCTACATGTATGCATAAAATAGTTATGTTGGATATCTTTTTTATGAAATTTACATTAATTTTTTAATGTTTTATAGCAAAAAGTAAGTAGTCAATTCTCAATTTAATTTCTAAAATCTGCTGACTTCTTTTTATCTTTACAGAGTAATTTTCAATAAACTGTGCTAATTTTTCCATGCATTTAATAGTGGCTAGAATGAAGTTATGATAAAGGCTTAGGCTTTTAAGTACATGTATATCTGCACATTCAACTTTTTCATAAGGTATATCTAATATCTTGTTCAATGTATACCTGACTGATTCCATTAAAAGGACAGGTGAACATTTTTCAAGTTAAATAGTTAAAGGACTTTTGGCCAATACTGCCCATTCAAATCGAATTAAATCTTTCAGTGTTATATATTAGACACAAACAATCATAATTCAAAAACCAAGATAGCTTAATAAATATTGTAGATTTCATTTTTGTCTCACATCAAGATGTCATTAATTTCCAGTGTGTTTAACTATATATATCCCTTCAAAAATAGTTCATAAAAAGCTCCTTTTACACACTTGTCAAAGGGAGGTTTATGTACAAACAAATGGGATATATAATGCCCATTTCTTGATAACAAAAAGAAAAAAAAACTTACACTTTACTTTTTTACCAATTTGCACGAAACCCAATTAATAATGAGCTTCAAGCAAGAAAACGATTAAAATAAGAATTGCAAACACATTGCTACTATATATATATCAGCATGCAAAAGTTAAATTTTTAGGACATCTTGAATATCTTGAATAGTAATAAATTTTAGAAATTGGATAATGCACTGTGAAAAAAACAATCATAATTGCTTGACTGAAGGCTTTTAAACATTGTAATCTATAAGACAGATGTTACATGAATATACCAGAATGCCATTGTACCTGCTACCATTACATGGAATGAATTGATTTTGTTTTAATTTAAGGAATGTGCAACCTCAATATTATTGATTTTTAATGTAAACATTTTTTCTCATTATTGAAGGCCTATAAATGCTTACTACCACTTGATTTTAACTCAGGTGGATAGTTGTCTCATTGTACCACATTCTTTTCATTTTTATTTTCAAATGCAAACAACTTTGAATGAAGTATTGCAATTCAATCAGATCAAATTAACCTTGAAATCAGATATAATTCAAAATTTCATAAATTTGCAAAGTTAAAACTTCTATTAATATACATCTACATCATTTAGACTCTGGTGGATAGTTGTCTCATTTGCAATCATACTGAATCTTGTTATTTAATATTCAAGAAAACATTTGAATTTTTGTTGAAAGTCTTTTTTTTCATGGTTAAACAGCTATGAAATGTCAGTCAATTTGATAAAACGGGGGAATTACAGAAAATCTTCACAGTTTGACACACACATACACAGAATTAATAGAGAGGACAATACTTAACCAAAGTTATATTTATCTGTAGTGACACTTGTGCTAATTGTTTCAAAATGGTCAATTTTTTCTATTATTTGGTAATCTCCTTACTGTGGATTCATTATTGTTATTATTGGATATCAGTTTTTGTGGTTTTTGTGGATTTTATGGGTACAGGATTACAATGAATTTAGATGTTCAACAAATTACAAATTTTCCATAAGGTTGTTTGCAGACTTTGGCAAAACCACAAAAGCAGATATCCACGAAAATTGGTATCCACAAAATTATATAAATCCATAGTATGTCATTAAGATACCTCACAGTCTTTAATTATACCAAAGTTAATAGTCATTTTTTGGAAAGCCTTTTGTTAGACATGGGTTCAATTTTACTTTAAAAAGTTATAGGTCAAGGACCTTTGGATAAAAAACTGAAAAGACTTCCTTTTTTGTTGGAAGGTAACAATATGTACTAACAAATGTAATCAATATCAATACTTTTCCAAGCACTTGAGTTTATCAGAGAATCATGCATGTTTTTGTTTTACTTGTAATTCTTATAGTTGAAATGCTAATTTTAAGGTTTACTCTTGTAAGCAATCATCCATTAAATAGATATAGGAAGATGTGGTATGAGTGCCAAGGAGACAACTCTCCATCCAAGTTACAATTTATAAAAGTAAACCATTATAGGTCAAGGTACGGCCTTCAACACGGAGCATTGGCTCACACCGAACAGCAAGCTATAAAGGGCCCCAAAAAATTACTAGTGTAAAACCTTTCAAACGGAAAAACCAACGGTCTAATCTATATAAAAACGAGAAACACGTATGAACTACATAAACAGACGACAACTACTGTAATCAGATTCCTGACTTAGGACAGGTGCAAACATTTGCAGCGGGATTAAATGTATTAATGGTACCAAACCTTCTCCCTTTTCTGAAACAATAGTATAACATCACAACATAGAAAAACACACTATAAAATATCAATTGGAAGGCTTAACTCAATCAAAAAACGTAAATAAACACATAATGAACGAATAAATTTGACCTGTGACACCTGAATGCAAATACACAGTTAATAAAAAATTACAAGGGATAAATAATTAAAGTCAAAAGTAAATAAACAGGTTTAAACAAAGTTAGAATATGATATCACTGTGAAATGTCCATTAAAGACTTTTTCTATTCCACCACAATATTTTATGCTTTAAAAACGATAGATATTCAACACAGATGGTAACAAATTATTAATAATAATATCTTTTTAGTTCCACATCTGTATTTGTAAATGATATGTATAAATCCTATCATCAGTGTAACCATATCAGTGGTCTCATGGTAGCATGTTCGCCTTAAGTGCTGGAGGTTGTGGGTACCATTCCTGGTTAGGTCAAACCAAAGACTTTAGAATTGGGTTTTTGCTGTTTCTCTGCTAATATGAAAATAAAAAGATGTGGTATAATTGCCAGTGAGACAACTTTCCACCAGAGACCAAAGATGTGGTATAATTGCCAGTGAGACAACTCTCCACCAGAGACCAAATGACATAGAAGTTAACAACTAGAGGTCACCATACAGCCTTCAAAAATGAACATGCAAATTAAGGAGTAAGAGCAAAGACTGGTTGGATCAAAGTCGGAATAATGTCTCCAGAAAGGTTGACATGTCTCTCTGTGTACTGTTACCTTGTGAGGTAGTATGTTAAGAATTCATCTGGCCAGTTTGGTTTAGTACAAAGAAGGGTTCATATTCATATTACATTAACATTTTCTCATCCTGAATATTTATTTAACTTGCCACTGAAGTTGAAACAGCCAGCCATCATCGTCATATCATCAGTGTAGATATAGAATAACAATACATTGTCTCAAAATATAAATTTTATTTGTATAAGGCTTAGAAACAGGTAGAAAGCGAGGCTTTGCCGATCATTTCTATCCTGTTTTGAGCTGAGTACAAATAAAATTTATATTTCGAGACAATGTATGGTTATTCTTTATATACTGCAACTCCTATAAGGACCTATAACTGTTCCAAATGAAATATTTAGGGTAAAAACCATTATTTTTTAATTTGGAGCGGATGACATAAAAATTTCCACAAACCTTTATTGTTTATGGACGTCATAAATAAAACTCTAAGGAAATGCATTGTCAACGTCATAAACAAGGCGATATACGGTCAGTGACTGTATATCACAAATGAATATACGGTCAATGCAATTTGACTGCGTAAATAGCACAGCTGCAGTATATATTACAATATTGCGCACAACATATCAACTACGTACTCAAGCATTTGCATAATTAGATTCATAGTTTTCATCAGATAACATCATGAACATGTCTGTGCACAATCTATGTTAAAATAAGTTTGCTTTTATAAAAGTCAGGTACATTTGATAACGCAGACCTAGCTTATTCAATCAGTTCCCAGAGCTCTCTTTATTCTTGTTTGGTGTGTACTGACTTTTGTGGATCATATGTCAAGGTGAACCAGAAACTCAAATGTTCAATGAAATACAAATTTTCTGTAGGCTTGTATGCAGAATTTTTTTAAACCTCAAAATCATGTATCCTGGGAATACAATTTTCCTGAATCCACAAAAAATGTAACCAACAAAAATAAAAGAATCCACAGTATTGAGAGTGGATGGTTTCAAAGGGGTCAATGAGTGAAAGAATTAATGTAATTTTTATTGAAGATTGGATAAAATCAGACTTGTATATTTTCAGTCTGATTATGAGATTGGTATCATCAGACAATTTACATTTTCCTCATCTCTACAACGAATGAGTGTTATTACAAGGAAGATTGATGATGATCACATGGTTCTATACTGTAAAGGTGCTCCAGAGAAAGTTACCTCCCTTTGTGATCCAGAAACAGGTACTGTTATTTTGTATTGTAAAGGTGCTCCAGAGAAAGTTACCTCCCTTTGTGATCCAGAATCAGGTATTGTTATTTTGTACCGTAAAGGTGCTCCAGAGAAAGTTACCTCCCTTTGTGATCCTGAAACAGGTATTGTTATTTTGTATTGTAAAGGTACTCCAGAGAAAGTTACCTCCCTTTGTGATCCTGAAACAGGTATTGTTATTTTGTATTGTAAAGGTGCTCCAGAGAAAGTTACCTCCCTTTGTGATCCAGAAACAGGTATTGTTATTTTGTATTGACTGATTCAATAGCATTATTCATTTATTCTCCTTTATAGAAATATGAATAAAAATAAGATTCACTAACATGTTGTCTTCCTGAAATGCATGTAATAACTACCAGTGGATGTTAAACATTGATTGATCTACTTTTTCTTGAGAATTTTCATTATAGCTATTTTAGTCTGTAAAAAAATTTGGTTTCATGATTGATTTTCAGCCACTAAAGAGCTGATCACTAGCTTAGTTAAGTTTGAAAAAAAAAATGAATAATACTAGACTATATCTAGTAGAGCTATACAGTTTAATACAATTTTTGGATGCTTTATTTTTTTACCACTGTTTCCGTTGAGACATATTTTTTTCCTCTATTCTATGTAAATTTAGGGCGCATTTTAAACTTGAAGAGGTATCATAATCTTCTTTAATATTTTCATCATTTTGAACAATAATTGATTTAATAATCATTTGGTACTCAATCAGAAACATGTTTACAAATTTGATAAATTTGAGTCTAATTATGGGAACAAGGAAGGTAAGGAACTGTTGTCCGCAGAGCATGTTAGACTGGACTCTGAGCTTGCTGCACGTTTAGATGGTTGTAGGCAATATCGCAAGAACGTTCCTCTACAAATATAATAAATTCACCAAAGGAATCAAAAGCTTCGAAAATATTGTCATTGATTTTAAAAGTAAGGCTTGTGTTTTTCAGTTCTGACACTTTTTTTTGCAATTCATTTTCACATCTTTGTAAGTACTTATTCATTTGATGAACCGTGAGGAACACTTGTAAATTAGATCCATGGTTTCTGATTGAACGAACTGCATATAACTGCATGTCATTCTTGTCTTTACAACGAACAGCATCTGATTCCTGAGACCTCAGGTCAGAGGTGATTATTTCAGATTTCTGATTTACTTCCTTACAGAATTTTTTTTGTAATTGAGTAATTTTGCTGATAATTTGATCTGTCATTGATTTAAAAGTTTCATTTATGTCCTGTCCATTTATGACCGATTCAATGGTACCTTTATGTCGGTCATCAGCAATCTTTTTGTATGTTTTTGAAATGTACTCCAAACGATCTATACAATCCAAAAATGATATTGATTCTCGAACTCCATCCGATACAGATTCCATGGGTACTCTGTTTCTACAAGTCTTGTGTTGTTCAGTAAGACAATCCTGACAACATACTTCATCATGGTAACTACAGAAATATTCTGGCTTTTTATTATGAATTTCACATTTCATCTTAAACGCAGAACATGATTCTTTATATTTTATATCCATAATAAGATGATCTTTGAGGCCTTTGAAAGATTTGTGTCTGGAGACACATGATGAACACAGTGATTCCTCACACTCCATACAATAGCTTATTGCTGATCTATTAATGTTACGTGTAGCACATGGTTCACACTTTCTAGATGTTGGTGTCCCCATTTTTGCTCTGCAAAATGAAATATTGAAATGGAGTTATCTAATATTCTAACGACATTTTATTTAAAAGATCCAGAATTCACTATAAGTTGATTTCTAAATTGTTGGCTTGATAATTTCAATGTTTATAAAAAATAATGTGTGATTTGATAGAAATATTTAATTATCAAACAATGAGTATGATCATTCAATCAGTGTTATATTAAAATCCCATGCAATGAAGTTAAGACTCATCTGGACCTTTTGGCTTAATTGGCTGTGTTTACACACGAAAATTTACTCTTGAATGAAGACAAACCTTTGCATCTGAAATTGTTTTAAGGCATGGCATGACCTAGATTATATATAGAATTCAAATACAATTTATGTTTCAGAAAATTAAAAACTTAACCGGATTTTGCTGTGCACTTTTTTTTAGTTCTTACCAGAAGATATCACATAATACAACAACTAACCAGGTTCCTGACTGGGGAGGGGCAACACTTTGATTACAAATATCTGAATACGATATCTACAGCCTTTACAAATATTGGAATACGATATCTACAGCCTTTACAAATATTGGAATACGATATCTACAAAAAGACTGTAACACCAAAAAAAAAACAAAGATTAAAAAGAAATATAGTATTAAACCCCCACACTAAAATGGGGCTTTATTGCAAATTCTTTGTCCATATATATATGTCTGTTCAGATATCTGTCCTTCTCCCAACAAATATTTTGATCACACTAATTTTAGGCTAGTAATATGCTGTATGAAAACATTGATTTATGTCAAACATTTCTCAGGAACCAAAGAACATATTGACTTCTTATTATAGTCCATGCTACAAAAAAGCTAGGAGACAGAGGGGGTGGGGGGAGATACATAAGTTTGACCCATCTGTCAGTCAATCAGTCTATATTTTATATTGGATTGCAACCATACTTGACTATATGAGCACACACAAAAAGAGGACACCCTATTGATTTAAGGTCACCAGGTCAAAGGTCAAGGTCAAAGTCTTTATATAAGAGTCTGAAATTTGTGCAGAAAAGTAGCTTCTGAATGCTGAATCAAAAACATATGGGATTGTAACCTTACTTTGGTGTGTTTTCACATATATTGAGAGAAAGATCCTTATTGATTTGAAGGTCAATACCTCAAAGTTACTTAAAATATACCAAAATTGGCACAGAACATTTTTTTTCTGGATGCTTAATCAGAAACTACATGTGGGATTGCAACCATACCTGAGTATATAGTCTCATATAATGAAAGGAAGATCACTATGTTCAAGGTCATAGTTATTAAAAAAAAGACTTCAATAGCTGCCAAAAAGTGGTTTCCAGATGCTAAATGTTAACATATATTAAGAGGAAATTCCTATTACATTTGAATTGAAGTCACTTGGTCTAAAAAGAGATTTGTTTATGTCAAAACCATAACAGAAAAGAATCACACCTAAGAGTTAACAGAAAAAAGCCATCATATCACAATAAGCTTTTCCTCTTTAGAGGGGGTATATGTAAGCTTGCTCACTAAAGGTTCATTAATTTGGTCAGCAGCTTGATACTAAGTTGATAGTGATCAGTCAGTCTGTCAGGCACCTACTTCCTGTTTTCAGATGCTTTGAATTGTGAGTGGGTGTGCTTAGTACTAACATGAGTGCATTCTTGTTTACATTATAACTTGATAAATTCTGAATGTAAATAAATCACTTTTTTCCTAGGAAGTAGATAGCTTTTGCTGTTGCAAATGTAGTGGAAAATATTAGATTTGTAATTAATAAATTGACAAGTTATAAAATTTCAACACTAACTATGATTTAAATTAACAATGTATATTTAATTTAGAGTAACTTATACAAACTAATTAAGTAACTTATACAAACTAACTAAGTGATTCAATTTTTTTATTTGATTTATTACATTGGTAAATGTTATGAAATATTGTGATTTCACAGTCAAATGAAAGTTACATGTGAAACAAATCCTGGAATTTCTCTCCTCTGACATCAGACAATAAAAAAAGTCAATATTAGGTGTCTAGATGTCAATGATGTTTGCATCAAACAAAGTAAGAACAAGCAGACAAAAGATATAGTACATGTGTAGTATCATTTTCTTATATCATAATATCAAGTGGAAATATTATTAAAAGAATCACTAATCCTAGAATTTTGATGTTGAAAAATATTCATTAGTGACAGAACAACAAGGATAATTCACACATGCTGTTATTATGTGTCAGATGTTTAATATGTCAGATGAAATATATTTCTTAAACAAAATACTATTTTTCAACAAAAATTTGTGTAAGAATTTTTATATCCCAGTTCAGATGGGATACCAGCAGACCGGTTGGATTGTTAAAACATGTATTTTGGCTCATTCATTGAAATAAGAAATGGGGTTGGTGGGATGGGGATTTACTTAGACTTAGACTTATATTACAAGTATAACATAAACATTTTCGGTTGCCACTTGACCTTAAGCAAACAAAATGATTTAATATTATTACATACAGATTGTATCAGACAAAATACAGGTCAATCACAAGGAAAACCTGTTATAGCTAGAATTAATGCATGGCTCCTTTGTCAAAATAAAACTACACTTGTTTATATCAGTAACATACAATGTAAGCATCACAGACTCCTTTAAGCCATTCTTCATACTCTACCTAAAAGTTTCAAATGCACATTTCTTACCTTTTAAATTGATTTTCAATGTCAGATGTAGGTTTTAAAGATATCTTTTAAGTATTGTAAACAGTACACTTAAATTTAATCAGCGTCCAAAGTCAATTTATAGTAAGATATATATATCTAATAACTACATGTATTTATTGTTGGTTATAACTTGTTCATAGATAATGTAATGCTCTCATTAGATTAAGGAAAATTATTTGTTTGTTCATGTGGCTGATATAACTGTTTGTAGTTTCTCACATTTGTCTTGTTGTCAGATTGCTTCAGTTGTCCCTTTCTTATTAACTTATGGCAATTACTAATTTTTGTCGAGACTGTGACATTCATGTCGCGAAATCGAAATCAAGACATAGCAATCCTAAATTGGTGGCGATTGCTGCAACCATTCAGATTCAGTCTGTGGTTAAAGTTTTTAGACATCAATTATGTTGTCAACCTTCATGGAATTTTATGAAATTTAGACAGAAACTTGTTGAATATAATTTTGATTTTTCATTTTTTCGTATTTTACTAATAAATGGACTTTAATAGTTTTTTACAGTAAATATTCAGATTCAGTCTAAGGTTAAAGTTTTTCAGTCATTAATAAATTTGTCAAACCTTCAAGGAATGGTATGAAATTTGGACAGAAGCTTGTATATGCATGACTGATAGACAGTATTCAGAGAAAAATTTTGATATTTATTTTCATTTTTCCGTATTTTACTGGGTATTTTGTCGAGCCTGAGACTTTTGTTACAGAAAGCTCAACATAAGGATAGTGATCAGCGGTGTTAACTAACTACTTAAAAAACTTAATATTTCAGAAGGTACAAGACCTGGATGCTTCATACTTTGTATATAGATGCCTTATGTTATGAAGTTTCTGTCTGTCATATGTCCTTTGTTCTTGACCTCATTTTCATGGTTCAGTGACTACTTGAAAAAAAAGTTAACATTTTTAGCTCACCTTTCCTAAAAGGAAATGTGCGCTTTTGCCATCACTTGACGTCCGTCGTCATCCGTCGTCCGTCCGGTGTAAAGTATTTCAAAGATCTTCTCTGATGATGATTGATTGATTGATTGATTGTTGGTTGCTTAACATCCAGTGTCTTCTACTCTGAAACTACTGAACCAATTTCAACCAAACTTAAGCTGAATGATCCTTAGGGTATCTAGTTTGTAATGTTAATTTTTGTCTTATTATGAGTAATAGGATAACTATATTTGGTATGTGCATACCATGCACAGTCCTCGTGCCTGTCAGACAGTTTTCACTTGACCTCAACATCATTTCATTGATCAGTGAACAAGGTTAAGTTTTCGTGGTCAAGTCCATATCTCAGATACTATAAGCAATAGGTCTACCATATTTGATGTATGGAATGATTGTAAGGTGTACATGTCCAAATGGCAGGTGTCATCTCACCTTGACCTCATTTTCATGGTTCAGTGGTTAAAGTTTAAGTTTTTGTGTTTTGGTCAATTTTTCTAATACTGTATGCAATGGGTCAGCTATATTTGGTGTATGGAAATATTTTATGATGTACATGTCAGTCTTGCAGGTTTTATTTGACCTTGACCTCATTTTCACGGTTCATTGCTAAGTTTTTATAGACCACAAAAAATTTCCAGACAATAACTTTCGTTTAAGTGAATGGATCTCTATGAAATTTTTTAAGAGGGTTCAATACCACAAAAGGCAGGTTGGGATTGATTTTGGGGATGATGGTCCCAACCGTTTAGGAATTAGGGGCCCAAAAAGGGCCCAAAACAAGCATTTTTCTAGTTTCAGGATAATAAATTGTGTGTAAGTATTTCAATTCCTCTGAAATTGTACCACAATGTTTAATACCACAAGTAGAAGGTTGGGATTCATTTTAGGGGTTATGGGGCCAACAGTGTAGGAATTCAGGGCCAAAAAGGGTCCATAAACAAGCATTTTTCTAGTTTCCAGACAATAACTTGTGTGTAAGTGTGTGGATCTCTCTGACATTGTACCACAAGGTTTCATATAACAAAGGAAAGGCTGAGATTGAGTTTGGGGTTAATTGCCCCAAACATGTAGGGATTAGGGGCCAAAAACAAGCATTTTTCTAGTTTCCAGACAATAACTTGTGTGTAAGTGTATGGATCTCTCTGAAATTGTACTACAAGGTTTCATACTACAAAGGAAAGGCTGGGATTAGGTTTGGGGTTAATGCTCCAAGGGGGGTTTCAAAAAGTTGGGGGGGGGGGGGGGATTTTTTTCCCAATATTTTTAAGGGATTCATATTTTTTTTCAAAATTTCTAAAATTTAGAATTTTTGAAAAGTTTCAAGAAGAAATCTTCAATTGCACAGTATTGTGCAATGGATTTATAAGATCTTAGACCACATTTATTTTGTGTCAGAAACCTATATTATGTCAAAAATTTGATCACAATCCAAATTCAGACAGTATCAAGCTTGAATATTGTGTCCAAATTTACCCCAACTGTTCAGGGTTCGACCTCTGCGGTCGTATCAGGCTGCGCTCAGCGAAGCATTTTATTGTGTTTTGGTTTGTATTTCTTAAACATAAGCAAAAGGTCAACTATGTTTGGTGTATGGAATGATTGTAATGTTTATTTGTCTGTTTGGCAGGTATCATCTGACCTTGACCTCATTTCCATGGTTCATTGGTCAATGATAAGTTTGTTTCTTCCATACTATACTTGATACCTCAACTATATTTGATCCATGGAATGATTGTGAAGTGTACATGTCTATCTGGCATGGTTCATCTGACCTTGACCTCATATTCAAAGTTCATTGGTCAATATAAACTTTTCATGGTTTGTAGATATAAGAAGATGTGGTATGAGTGCCAATGAGACAACTCTCCATCCAAGTCAAAATTTATAAAAGTAAACCATTATAGGTCAAAGTACGGTCTTCAACACGGAGCCTTGGCTCACACCGAACAGCAAGCTATAAAGAGCCCCAAAAATTACTAGTGTTAAACTATTCAAACAGGAAAACCAACGGTCTAATCTATATAAAAAACGAGAAACGAGAAACGCTTATGAACCACATCAACAAACGACAACTACTGAACATCAGATTCCTGACTTAGGACAGGTGCAAACAATTGCAGCGGGTTTAAACGTTTTACTGGTACCAAACCTTCACCCTTATCTGAAACAATAGTGTAACATCACAACATAGAAAGACACACTATAAAATATCAATTGAAATGGCTTAACTCAATCAAAAGACATATTAACACCAGTGAACATACACTTTTTTGTCTGTTTCTTGTATCTGATAAGCAATATGTCAACTTATTCAATGTATGGAATGATTGTAAGGTGTACATGTATTTCTGGCTTGGTTTAAATGACCTTGACATCATTTTCTTGTATCATGATAAATCAATTTGATACTTGTAGTAAAATTTTATATTGAGGGCTATTAACATAAAATCAATGGTGGTAAATCAGGCGAGACATTTCAGCGTGTGCACTCTTGTTTACAGTTAACTGTAAGGTAGATACAGTCAGGGGTTTAAGTTTGTTACACATCAATTGCTTTGTTAAACCTTCATAGAATTTTATGACACTTTGGCAGAAGGTTTTTTTATGATTAACATGATTAAGAGATAATGTCTAAAGGAATCTTTTGAAAAAAAAAAATTTTTTTTCATTTTCAGTATTTTTCTGATAGATGAACTTTGTTTTTTACAGTTAACATTTACAGACATTCTGGCATTAAATTTTTTTGACATGATAAATTTGTAAACCTCCATGGATTGTTATGAAACTTGGACAGAAGCTAATCTAAGATCAATAAATAGCCTCTAAAAGAAAAATTTAAGATTTTTTTTCAAAATTCTGCATTTTACTGATAAAGAGACTTACTTTTTACAGTCAACATAACACTTTTACAGTTATACACTGACAGCAGCAATCACATTGAGACACAGGGTTCTGGAGAACCCTAACAAATATTTCTTGTTGTTAGAGACTGTATAAGATTTTAGAAAAGTAGAAAAAACATTAAAAGACCTGTGCTTGACCTAACAGATATATATGGAATTAAGAGTACATTATGAAGGTCTTTCCAAAAACATTTGTTGAATAGTTTAATAGATTTTTGATCTGTAAAATGGGCAGGAAGATGGGAGCAATGTCCTTAAAATCATGATGATATACATATATATGTCCTAAAAAGCAGAAGTTGACAGGAATGCAAAAAAATCAAATTTCTCTCAATATGAAATAAGAGGATGTGGTATGTGGTATGTGGTATGATCGCAAATGAGACAACTATCCACCATAGAAAAAAACATCATAGATGATAGCAATTATAGGTCACCATACAGGTCAGCCTTCAACAATGAGCAAAGACCATACTGCATATAGCAAGCTATAAAAGGCCCTCAATATGAAATACTTGTCATGTAGAACAGTTTTTTAATGTCAAGGTGTTATTGCAAATGATTTGTTTTTACTTTCTTTTTCTGAAGGATGATTTGTTTTATTTTGTAGTTCCTGATAATTTTCATGAGATATTACACCAATACTCAGTACAAGGATACAGAATTATAGCCCTGGCCTACAGACAATTAGACCCTAAACTATCATGGCACCAGGCTCAGAGAATATCAAGGTATCACTTATTATGTAATCAGGAGAGAAAGCAGTCAATTTAATAAGGGGTCAAAAGGCTGGATTAACTATGACATGCAGTGCAGGTTACATTGGAAATTGGTTCTTCATTTTTAAGTATTTGGGCCAGTATTTTCAAAAGTATTAATTTCAAAGTTTTAGAAACTAGTTAACACAAGAACTACCATTCAGTTTATGCAATATTATTACCACTTTATAAATAATGTAGTTATAAAAAACACACATATTGTGGATACATTATTATTTGTAGGAATCAAAATTTCCATGGAACTCATTGGTAAAGGTAAACCACCAATTTAAATGTTCAACACAAACTGTGGAATCATTTATTTTCGTGGGTACCAATTTTCGTGGACGGAGGAAAACTTGCATTTTCATGGATATTTGATTTCGTGTTTTCCAAAAGTCTGCATAATGCATACAGCAAATTTGTAATTCATTAAACATTTAGATTCATGGTTTCCCTGTACCCACGAAATCCAACGAAACATAATGAATCCACAGTAACACATTTTCTAAAGGCATGTATATAGACATTGACAAATCCATGAAATCAAATATCCATGAAAATTGGAATTAGTAAAAATAAATTAATCCACAGTAGTACAGATACAATAGAAGTAGAAGGAAGTCTAATGTAGACATTGTCTATTCTTGAAGACCATACATTGATTTTTCTGTCTCCTTTTTAGCTCACCTGGCCCAGATGCAGATTTATAGGCCCTGAAATTTTCAGATGAATCCGACAATCCGTTGTTGGGTTGCTGCCCCTGAGTTAGTAATTTTTACAAAAATTTTGCAGTTTTTTGTTATTATCTTAGATATCATTATAATATCTAATATCTAATACTATTAATTATGATTTTTACCTTATTTTACAAGATTTCCAAAGCATCAGTAAATACAGGTGAGCGACACAGGCTCTTGGTAATTTTAAGGAAATTTTGCAGTTCTTGGTTATTATCTTGAATATTATTATAGATAGAGATAAACTGTAAACAGCAATAATGTTCAGCAAAGTAAGATCTACAAATAAGTTGTCATGACCAAAATTGTCAGTCGACCCCTTTAGGAGTTATTGCCCTTAATAATCAATTTTTAACAATTTTTTGTAAATTTTGTAATCTTTTACAAAAATCTTCTTCTCTGAAACTACTGAGACAAATTTAACCATACTTGGCCATAATCATTATTAGGGTATCTAGTTTAAAAAATTTGTCCGATGACCCCGCCTTCTAACCATCATGGCCGACTTGGTTAAAAAAAGAACATAGGGGTAAAATGCAGTTTTTATACGACCGCAAAAAAATTTTGTGGTCGTATATTGGTATGATATTGGCGTCTTCGTCGTCGTCCGAAGACACATTGGTTTTCGCACTCTAACTTTAGTTAAAGTGAATGGATCTCTATGAAATATTACCATAAAGTTCAGTACCACAAAAGGAAGGTTGGGATTGTTTTTGGGGGTTATGGTACCAACAGTTAAGGAATTAGGGGCCAAAAAGGGGCCAAAAATAAGCATTTTCTAGTTTCCAGACAATAACTGTGGAATTGTGTATGGATCTCTCTGAAATTATACTACAAGTTTCCATACCACAAAGGGATGGTTAGGATTTGCTTTGGGGGGTTATGGCTCAAAACGTTTAGGAATTAGGGGCAAAAAAGGGGAAAAACAAGGTTGTCCTGGTTAATGGACAAATACTGTAGTACAAAACATAATTTAAAGCAGTGTAAGGGAGATAAATCAAATACATCATTGAAATTACCTCCCTTACACTGCTTTTAAATTATGTATAAAGTAATGGTTAATGAACAATTAAGATAATTTAAAACAGTGTAAGGGAGGTAAATTGGTTACTTCCCTTACACTGCTTTTAAATTATGTTTAAAGAAATGCATATTTATAAAGGAAGACCAGTAAAAATATCTGCAAATGTTGCATCTTTTTTTTTTACAAAAAAATCCATATGAAAGATTTGACACTATATTTTAAATTCTATTATAAAATAGATTCAGTTAGCACTATGGTAAATTTAAATGGGTAATTATGGTTGCAAACTCCATTGGAAATTTGAATTGAGATTATGACCATATCTTGAGGGAAAGAATTTTTTGGGGGAAAAAAGGAGGGGGGAGTAAAAAGAAATTGTGGGGGGGTCAATTTTTTCTCATTTCAGATTTCAGAAATTAAAAAGAATTATTCTTCAAATATTATTTTTTTTCTTTCAAATTTCAAATATTGAAAAATTTCAAGAAGTAATCTTTAATTGCACAGTATGGCGCATTAGATTTGTAAAATTTTTGACCACATTTATTTATTTGTTATGCCGAATCTAACCGTGTATTTAGATTTTTAATTTTGGGTCCAGTTTTCAAATTGGTCTACATTAAGGTCCAAAGGGTCCAAAATCAAACTTTGTTTGATTTTAACAAAAATTGAATATATGGGGTTCTTTGATATGCTGAATCTAAACATGTATTTAGATTTTTGATTTTTGGCCCAGTTTTCTAGTTGGTCCAAATTGGGGTCCAAAATTTAACTTTGTTTGATTTCAACAAAAATTGAATATATGGGGTTCTTTGATATGCTGAATCTAACCATGTATTTAGATTTTTTATTTGTGGGCCCCGCTATCAAATTGGTTCATATTGAGGTCAAAAGGGTCCAAAATTAAACTTCGTTTGATTTCATCAAAAATTGAATATATGGGGTTCTTTGATATGCTGAATCTAACCATGTATTTAGATTTTTTATTTGTGGGCCCCGCTATCAAATTGGTTCATATTGAGGTCAAAAGGGTCCAAAATTAAACTTTGTTTGATTTCATCAAAAATTGAATTATTGGGGTTCTTTGATATGCCAAATCTAACCGTGTATTTAGATTTTTAATTTTGGGTCCTGTTTTTTAAATTGGTCTACATTAAGGTCCAAAGGGTCCAAAATTAAACTTAGTTTGATTTTAACAAAATTGAATTCTTGGGGTTCTTTGATATGCTGAATCTAAACATGTGTTTAGATTTTTGATTATGGGCCCAGTTTTCAAGTTTGTCCCGGTTGGGGTCCAAAATTAAACTTTGTTTGACTTCAACAAAAATTGAATGTATGGGGTTCTTTGATATGCTGAATCTAAACATGTATTTAGATTTTAGATTTTTGGCCCAGTTTTCTAGTTGGTCCAAATTGGGGTCCAAAATTAAACTTTGTTTGATTTCAACAAAAATTGAATATATGGGGTTCTTTGATATGCTGAATCTAACCATGTATTTAGATTTTTTATTTGTGGGCCCCGCTATCAAATTGGTTCATATTGAGGTCAAAAGGGTCCAAAATTAAACTTTGTTTGATTTCATCAAAAATTGAATTATTGGGGTTCTTTGATATGCCAAATCCAACCGTGTTTTTAGAATTTTAATTTTGGGTCCTGTTTTTTAAATTGGTCTACATTAAGGTCAAAAGGGTCCAAAATTAAACTTAGTTTGATTTTAACAAAAATTGAATTCTTGGGGTTCTTTTATTATGCTGAATCTAAACATGTGTTTAGATTTTTGATTATGGGCCCAGTTTTCAAGTTGGTCCAAGTTGGGGTCCAAAATTAAACTTTGTTTGATTTCAACAAAAATTGAATATATAGGGTTCTTTGATATGCTGAATCTAACCATGTATTTTGATTTTGGACATTGGACCATAATAGGTAAATTAAAAAAATTCAAATTCTTAGACCACATTCTTTCTGTGTCAAAAACCTATGCTGTGTTGAATATTTAATCACAATCCAAATTCAGAGCTGTATCAAGCTTGAATGTTGTGTCCATACTTGCCCCAACTGTTCAGGGTTCGACCTCTGCGGTCGTATCAAGCTGCGCCCAGCGAAGCATTTTATTGGTATATATCTCTGAAACTAAAGCATTTAGAGCAAATCTGACAGGTGGCAAAAATGTTCATCAGATTTAGATTTATCTGCCCTGAAATTTTCAGACTAATCCGACAACCCATTGTTGGGTTGCTGCCCCTGAGTTAGTAATTTTACAAAAATTTTGCAGTTTTTTGTTATTATCTTAGATATCATTATAATATCTAATGTCTAATACTATTAATTATGATTTTAACCTTATTTTACATGATTTCCAAAGCATCAGTAAATACAGGTGAGCGACACAGGCTCTTGAGAGCCTCTAGTTTTCAAAACTAACATTTTCATCACTTTACTTATGAAAAAAACTTCTTCAAGTTCTTTTTTTAATGTTTTTAGCTTACTGTGTCATTGAACTAACCCTTATCTACTTTCATTTGATTTATTTAAAACTCTATGTTTAATTTCAGAGATAAAATGGAGCACAGTTTAACATTTGCTGGTCTCCTGTTCATGCAGAATAAACTGAAACAGGAAACCAAACCTGTGATTGGTCTATTAAATGCTGCTAACATTAGAACTGTAATGATCACAGGTATGTTTTATATAGAGGAATAAAATGAAGTTAAATGAAAGGGAAGGTACATTTTGATTTAATCTTACTTTTTAGGAAGCAGACTGCTTTAAGGACACTTAAATGATTTTCATCATTTGCAAATTTCAGTCATTTTCCTAATCCAAAATTGCTCTGATGTCTGGCAGCCTTTTAAGGACTTGCTGGGGCCATGCGATGTCTTTTTCACTGACACTAATATTATTTATACATGCACAACATTATACTGACAAAACACATAGCCTCTACTACTGATAACTAATACCAAACAGAAAAAAATATTTGTATCATGTGTCCAAAAAATTTTGAAATTCTACCTCTTCTGCTGATTGGTACTGTGATATATTACATATTTTAGTAATAAACATTGAATGATGATTTGTCTCAAATAAATTACAAGAATGGTTTGTCAATTCAAGTTCAATTTCCTAATACAACATTTAACAGTTATGATATGTATTCGTAGACATTGAATATGACCCATTTCAGTAATCAGGTTGTAAATTTAATCCAGGTGATATGATGCAGACAGCTGTGAGTGTTGCTAGAACATGTGGTATGATTCAAGCTTGTGATGACGTTGTGATAGCTGATGCACATCCACCAGACAGTCAGGGACCAGCAAGGATAGAATGGATACCAGTAGAGAATCCAGTTCAGGATAATATTCCAGAAGGGGAATCTCAGGTGAGAACAGATATACATTTTACAGACTAAGAAAGGGATGTTTTCATTCTAATCATGATTTATTTCATCTTTCCTATTTTATTAAATAAAAATAAAGAACTTAATGTACCCACATATGACTGAATTAATTAGCAATTTTTCAAATGTTATTTTGCGGTCGTATATTGGTATGACGTTTAGACACATTGGTTTTCGCACTCTAACTCTAGTTTAAGTGAATGGATCTCTATGAAATTTTACCATAAGGTTCAATACCACAAACGGAAGGTTGGGATTGATTTTGAGGGTTATGGTACCAACAGTTAAGGAATAAGGGGCCAAAAAGGGGCCAGAAATAAGCATTTTTGTAACTTCCAGACATAACTTGTGTGTAAGTGTATGGATCTCTCTGACATTGTACCACAAGGTTTCATATCACAAAGGGAAGGCTGGGAATGATTTTGGGGGTAATTGCCTCAAAATTTTAGGAATTAGGGGGCAAAAAACAAGCATTTTTCTAGTTTCAGGACAATAACTTGTGTGTAAGTGTATGGATCTTTATGAAATTGTACCACAAGGTTCCATATCACAAAGGGAAAGCTGGGTTTGAGTTTGGGGGTAATTGCCTTAAACATTTAGGAATTTGGGGCCAAAAAGCATTTTTCTAGTTTCCAGACAATAACTTGTGTTGAAGTGTATGGATCTCTCTGAAATTGTACTGCAAGGTACCATACCACAAATGGAATGCTGTTATTGAGTTTGGGGGTGATGAATCATAAGGGGGTTCAAAAAATTGGGGGGAGGGATTTTTTTTCCCTTTTTTTCCTTTTTTTTTCTTTAAAATTTTCCATTTAAAATTGGTTATTTCTGATTTATATATAAAAGCAAATAATAATGATATGGTTTGAATAAATAAATTAAATTTTTTTAAGTTCTTAGACCACATTCATTCTGTGTCAGAAACCTATGCTGTGTCAAATAATTAATCACAATCCAAATTCAGAACTGTATCAAGCTTGAATGTTGTGTCCATACTTGCCCCAACTGTTCAGGGTTCGACCTCTGCGGTCGTATCAAGCTGCGCCCCAGCGGAGCATTTTATTTTTATAATGTTGCTGATAAAATTGATTTGTTCTTACTTAAGGGATGCAGAATTATATACAGGGTAAGTAAGTAAGTTTATTGTTGATTTATTGTTTTATTTCAGTTTTAAATTATTAAATTAATAAAAGTCTGAATTTTTCTGCCAACAGGCAAGACATATCACTGTGTCAACAGTTAATTTATTTTATTAAGTGGTTTCCAAATTTTATGAAATTGTACTTAGTTCCATAAAGTGTATATTTTAAATTTGAATTTTATTTTGTAGGAAAATCTTTTCATCGAGTTTTGGAGTCTGTTTCATGTGTTTTAATTATTACGTTGGCTGGATTAATTGTTTCAACTTAAACCTATTTCAAAATCCTATTGAAAAATCCCTTCAGCACCAGCAGCACTTGAGTTATTATGCTAAATTCAGAAATTTTTGCTCATATTTATTTTTACATTGAAAAAAAAACATAGCAATGATTTCTGGAACTACATGAGTTTTTTTCTGTTAATATTTTTTGTTTGCAGGAAAAATATTTTAAGTTATGAATAGTCATCTTCATATAAGTCAGATTGTGTGTAAACAACTAAATAAAACATGCCTAAACTTGAAAAAACATACAATTATTATTTTATAAATGAATTTTTTAAAGTAGCTCTAAGTTGATTACCATCAGTTTTTTATTTAGAAGTAAATGTTCTTTCCTGACAGGTCATTGGTGTATTGTATAAATACTCTCAATTTACCACTATTTAACAAATTATAATTGTTAAATTGGTTTAAATCCATGTGATAACTTAAACAGTCACTGTTCTCATAAATCTGTCTTTTATGTTCATAGTTACTGTAGTTGAAAAAACTTCCGTTTTGATTGCAGATTTAAAAAGAAAATATCTAAAATTGGGTATGTTCTATTCTGTTCAGTAAAAATGATCTCATGGGATCATATAAAATAGTGAATATTGAATGTTCTATGTCCCATGGTTTATAAAAATATCAAAACCCCTCATTGGGTTTTTGATTATGTGATTACATGGCCGTTTTTATAGTGATTATTTGATTACCAGACCAAATATTTCTTGATTATTTGATAATCTAGGACTGTATTTTTGATTATTAGATTATCTTGTTTAAAAAAATAATTAATGATTATGTGATTATATTGGCAAAAAATTTGTGATTATGTGATTACTTAGACACCCCCATGAGGGGCCTCTCAAAAGGTTCATATATTTAGATATAAGAAGATGTGGTATGAGTGCCAATGAGACAACTCTCCATCCAAGTCAAAATTTATAAAAGTAAACCATTATAGGTCACAGTACGGTCTTCAACTCGAAGCCTTGGCTCACACCGAACAGTAAGCTATAAAGGGCCCCAAAAAATTACTAGTGTAAAACCATTCAAACGGGAAAACCAACGGTCTAATCTATATAAAAAACGAGAAACACTTATGAACCACATCAACAAACGACAACTACTGAACATCAGATTCCTGACTTAGGACAGGTGCAAACAAATGCAGCGGGCATCAATAGAACACACGACATGTCAGCATGGTGTTTAACATACAATTAGAAAACAATAGCTGTTTTCCAAAGTTCAAACCTCAAAAATCCATTTAGAAGATACAAATTAGGGCAAGAAACAAAAACTCAGGGAATCAATCGCATGAACTCGTAAAGGAGCAACACGAGGTGTGTTGACAGGATAAGTATCTGGCTATGCATGCATCACCCGCTATGCTAATCCACTCTCATTCAAAATTTCACACAAATGTGTTTTGTATATTTTAGGGTTACCAATCAGTAGATATGAGAGAACATCTGGAGAGGACTCACCTGGCTGTTACAGGGAAATCATGGAAAGTTATTACCGATTACTTCAAAGATCTAATACCCAGGGTATATAACTATATTAAGATATTTTAAGATTTACCAAAGTTAAATAAGAGGTATTTCCATTTGCTACCATGTTTGAGTTCAATATGCATATATTTCTTCATTTATCAATCAAATTCAGCATGTGATACTGACTGCTACTCAGCTAGACTTTACAATTTTAATTTGTTTTTAGCCTTTTACAGTTAGATACTTCAATTTAGTAAATATCTGTAGACTTGCATGTTACACATGTTTTAAATTGGTTAGTCAAATAAGAAAATCAACCAGTTTGCACTCCAATATTGCAATCAAGGAAAAAACTCAACATCAAATTAGATAATTTGAAAATTATCCATTGGTCAATTGAAAAAGTTATTAAAAAGTTGAGAGGAAAATAAAGAAGACAGTTTTAATTTTGAAATTAAATCTTTTCAGTTCCTGAATATTTTTTGCAATTTTTTTTTATCTTGAATTGTATATTGCCTAAAAGATCAAGGAAATACTATGGTCCTCATTTCTGCTTGTTCCATCTTTGCCCTATATTTTTTTGGATGTATTTTATATCTTTTACAGATTTGTGTGAAGGGATCTGTTTTCTGTCGAATGTCACCTGACCAGAAATGTCAACTTATTGAAAAAATGCAAGAAATTGAGTGAGTATTCTATATTTAAAATCTCAAGGTTGTTGAGCATACAGTTATTCAAAGATTCATGTTTATTGTCAACAAAATGCTAAGTACACATCAATAAAACTTAGCATTTTGGTCTTAAGGCCCATCCTTAATTTAAAACTCAGCAGTCCATGTGCACACATGTACATCTATTAGTGTTAGAAACATAAAAATAAAATGCAATTTATGTGATTTGTTAGATTCTAGACCATCCTGCATCTGTTACCTGTATGTTATCTTAAATAAATTCCAATTAAACCTTCAATATTTTGATTTCTGTATTTTTTTTTAACTTTACACTTCATTTTATATTTGTTAATTGATTGAATGTTTTCACAGATACCAGGTTGGAATGTGTGGTGATGGAGCCAATGATTGTGAGGTAGGTAATTAATTGTAGACTTCTGAAACAAAATCCCTATGTTCTATGCTTCTGTCAGTTTCTTTTAATTCTAAACACATACTATCAGTTTAATGCTTAGAACATACTATGATGTTTCATTAGTGAAATAGTAAATTTGACCTTTAAATATCTTGATAAGAACATACATTTTAGTCATTAAGTTTGTATTAATGTAATTTTTTTTTTGGAATACAGAAAGTTATTCATTTGTTTATCACATTCTATACAAATTATACGTAAAAAATATTAGATCCTGTTTACTAAATTTTTTTAATGGACTTTTATTCAAAAATGGGTTGCTATTTAGTGAGTTTAATATTATATAACCATGCTGCAAAAGGTTTTTGTTTTAGGCCCTGAAAGCAGCACATGCTGGAATATCTCTGTCTGAAGCTGAGGCTTCTGTTGCAGCGCCTTTTACATCACACATACCAAATATAGAATGTGTAGTCACTGTCATGAGGTAGGTGGCAGCACCTTTTACATCATTTTAATCTTTATATAGTATGTATTCATCAATGTGGGTGTCAAGGTTGATTGTAATTGTACCTTAGAAACAATGAGCGTCAAAGTAACATTTATGTACACCAAGGAAGAGAACGAGACAAACCTTTTGTCTTGTTGACCAATGGGTGATATTAAATTTGTATTCTCTTTGTAAAGGGAGGCAAATGATCCAAAATAATATTTTTTGATTTCAATGAGTTACCTCTGGCACATTTCTTTGAAGCCTCTTACTTTATTTACATATTTGCACTGTTTAAGTATATTTTTTTTATTATCTTGCAAAGTACATGATTAATTTAGATTAAATATTAACTATAAATGATGACAATTTACTTGTTACAGGGAAGGAAGATGTGCCTTAGCGACTTCATTTGGGTGCTTTAAGTATATGGCATTATACAGTTTTATCCAGTTTATATCTGTTTTAATACTCTACAATGTAAGTTAAATTATTGGAATATCATGAAAATATTTCAAACCATTAAAATAAATAACCATTAATCTTTATTCATAAGCAACATAATCCTACTGCTGATTATAGGATAGATGTATAATGTGTATTACAATATCTTACAAAAAAATACAGGTTCAAACCACCATTTTCTTCAGAAAATGCCTGTACCAAGTCAGGAATATGACAGTTGTTTTTTTTACTTGTTCGATTGGTTGAAAACATTTTGATTTTATTAGTTTTTATGGACTCCCCCTTTTTTAAATTTATCTTGGAGTTCGGTATTTTTGTTATACTTTTTTACTAACACTGACATTGTGTTAAAATTACAATCTGAAATGCATATAAACTACATTTACATACATCCCTTGAACAACAAGAAAAATGGAATGGAAAAATGTTTGCATTATTAGAATCTCTAGTATCATTTTCGTTCTCCAGATGTCTTGTTATTTATCTGTCACATGTAGTGTAAGAGGGGTTGATGCTTCATGAGGTTTAGGAGGTTTAGCTTGGCCTACATACAAAACGTTATGCCGGTGCTCAAAGTTGATAATTTTATATGTGAGTGTAAACAATTTCTGTCACAACAATCTACCGAAAAATTATTTAGGCAGAGTTGTTTTATAAGATACTTTAACATGAGTGGCATTGTCCTAACTCATGCATTCATATTTTATGTTTTAAGTGTAATAAAAGATGACAGTACTGTAAATTCAGAAATTAAAGCGATGTTTTTATTAATGCAAATAACACTACTACTTGAGTATCCCAATAATAAGAACTCCCATTCTGATATCAAATACATATATCTGTATGTAGCTTTTCCTGAAATCGCAATAATTAAACTCGCATTTGTGTTAATTCTTCAAAAATCGCAATAATGAATGCATGCAATGATTTCTGAATTTACAGTATTTATGCATCTCATACAGTCAAACAATTGTAATTCTTAATATAAGGCACATTCAAGTGCTTACTTCTTAACCACATCTACCCTTTTGATTCAATGACTAATTAATAAATAGTTATAAGTATATAAAATTAGTTTCTTTTCTTCTTGCAGTATTCCTGTAATTTAGCAGACATGCAGTTCCTATATATAGATCTAGTCATTACAACGTCTATTGCAGTACTCAGTAAGTTAAAAAAAACAAAAACATTTATAGCAGTATTACAGCAGTATTTCTACAGGAGGGCACAGTTGGTGACCTAATTCACTTATAAGTCTCCTCTCTTGAGAGGACAGTAGCTGGCCTGAAGAAAGGGTGGTCAATTCAATACAAGACCTTGCCATTGACTTTATTTGTTATAATTTAAAAAAAAGGAGATGTGGAAAGATTACCTAGTAAGCAACTATATGTAACCATATGACCATTATAGTAAATATAAAAGGCCCTGATATGACCAAATGTAAAACCATAAAAATGAAAAAAAAAGAAGCTGGATGATTTATGTGGAAAAAAAATAAAAAAAAAAAAAATAGGTCAGATAGCATCCGGTGGTAAACACTGAGTGACAGGCTCCTGACATAAAGAATGTGACAGGGTTTAACATGTTTGTGAGTAATCAAACCTCCTCCCGAAAAAAATGGATAGTGGTGCATAAGAACAAACTGTTAAAATCAGTTGAGAAGGGTTTATTTCATCTGTACGACAAAAACCACAAAAAAAAAACAATTAACAAAAAGTCTTAAAGCCACAAAGAACTGATTTTCATGATCGAAATAATAGTTTTTTTTCTGTGTCTCATTTATAATACTAATTCATGTATCTGATTGGATGTAGATATAGAGTGAAAATTTGGTGGTAAAAAATTATAACTAGGTAAAGTTCAGTAATGAGGACATAGAGGAAGGTGGTTACTGTGGTTTAATTTTTCCTTGTCTCTCCTGAAGACTTGTTTCTTTCAAAATTTTACCATGTTTACCACCTGTTAGTATCGAGATATTTAAATAGTTCAAAAAATCTTTTTTGTACATGGCATATACATCAATATTTGTAGTTTTATAATTTGAAATGTGAGTGAAAGTTATCTATTCAATGCAGTACATTTGGAAACAGACTTTGTATAAAGGATTTTAGTTAGTGGAATATATTTTAGTGTTTCTGAGACATAAATATAATAATTTTTTACATTTCAGTGGGATATACTGGTGCGTATAGACATTTGATTGCCCAGCAACCACAGAGTAGTCTGATAGAGTTATCTAACCTGATTTCTATTGTTGGACAAGTATTGCTAGTACTTCTGTTTCAGCTTAGTGCTTTCTTCTTTCTCCAGTCGCAAAAGTGGTAAGTTTCGTCAATTATTTATACATACAATTTTTAGAAGATTGTGTCATTTTATAGATACAGTCGAACCTCGTTGTGTCACACTCGGCTGTGTCGAAAACTCAGATGAGTCGAAGTAATTTCTCGATCCCGGTAAAATTCACGTTTGATCAATGCATAATTACCTCTGATGAGTCGAATACTCGGTTGAATCAAGTAAATTTGATAGTCCAGTCGATGTAAAATTAATGTAAATTGACCCCGATGTCTCGAAGTTCGAAAGTAAGAATTTTCGAAAGGATAAAAATTCAAATCGGATGTATTTCTTATGCAACCTAATCATTTTCAAAAAAGATTAAAGCTGAGTTAACATATTTGTTTGTATAACAGTTAAAATGACATGTTTATGGTGACCGGTAATTAACACCTTTGTTGATTGTTCAAGCGGAATGTTAGTGTGTTGAACATTTTTCACAAGAGATAAAAACGAAACGAATTTAAATGACACAAGCCGAGATTAAATGAATCGTTAGATTTAAAACTCATTAATTAGAATAAATAAAAGGATTAAGACAATTATGATAAATTCATGATAATTTAATGTAAAGCAGACGACCTCATTAGAGACCGTTCAGAACTGATTTCATTCCGCAAGTGATTTCATAATTTATAGTGACTGACCTTTGTAAATAATTGTGTAAACTATTGATTTTATTTGTGCATGATTTGTATCTGTACTTGTGTGTTTAATTATTACGAAGGACCAAAAATGGAGATTGAATACACAATCATAAAGTGTCATATCGAAAAAAAGTCACACTGTTCATTGTATCTAGTTTACACAAATCTTATACTGTATTTCATACATTCTAAATTTATGAGGAAACACTCAACCTCGGATGAGTCGAACCTCGGATGAGTCGAATACTTTGGTCCTGTCCCTTGGACTTCGACACAACGAGGTTCGACTGTATAAGTATTGCTACTTGAATAAGAATTTGAGTCATGCTCAAGATAATTTGACAAATTACCAATGCTGAAGGTCGTAAGTGTACCACAGACAATCCAGTTTCATCTAATAGAACTTGCTGAATAAAAATTTGTATGAACTAATATAGAGTTGGGCCAAACATTATCAAAATATTGAAAACTTGAGCATATAGAGATTATTTGCACTAATCATTGAGAAAGCATAATTCCTTTTTATACGACCGCAAAAAAGTTTTTGTGGTCGTATATTGGTATGACGTTGGCGTCGGCGTCGGCGTCGTCGTCGTCCGGGGTCTTCCGAAGACGCATTAGTTTTCGCACTCTAACTTTAGTTTTAAGTGAATGGATCTCTATGAAATTTTACCATAAGGTTCAATACCACAAAAGGAAGGTGGGGATTGATTATGAGGGTTATGGTACCAACAGTTAAGGAATTAGGGGCCAAAAAGGGGCCAAAAATAAGCATTTTCTAGTTTCCAGACAATAACTGTGGAATAGTGTATGGATCTCTCTGAAATTATACTACAAGTTTCCATACCACAAAGGGATGGTTAGGATTTGCTTTGGGGGGTTATGGCTCAAACCGTTTAAGAATTAGGTGCAAAAAAGGGGGAAAAACAAGGTTGTCCTGGTTAATGGACAAATACTTTAGTACAAAACATAATTTAAAGCAGTGTAAGGGAGATAAATCAATACATCATTGAAATTATCTCCCTTACACTGCTTTTAAATTATGTATAAAGTAATGGTTAATGAACAATTAAGATAATTTAAAACAGTGTAAGGGAGGTAATCCAAATACCATGTTTTGGTTACTTCCCTTAAAGGGAAACTCCGCAAAAAAATGAAAAATTTATATTTTGGTCTTTAAGCATAAAAAACCACATGTTCATAAATAAAAAACTTTTATTCTCTATGTAAAGAGATCAAAATCGATTTTTGAAATTCACTATCAGTTCTCGACATATCACCATCTTGTCGGCATGATCGATCTAAAAAGTCACGTGATATCTATAAACCACAAAGAACAAAAAGAATCGGGGATTTACCGACCGTGCGTTAAAAACTCCCATCATCAATTGGGGATTACCGTAGACGGTTATTCAGTGTCAAATGTCTTGTCAAGCGTACGGTTGTTCTGTCAGACAAGGTTATGACAAAAGTCTACATAGTTTTCCCAATCCCACAAAAAATGAAAGAATTGTATCAGACATGGTTGTACAACCTTAAACTAACAGCAAATAGTTGCATCTATAGCAAGCACAAGTTGGTGTGTGAAGACCATTTTGAACAATATTGTTTCGAGGGAGATTCGATGGTAATTATCCTTTTTTAATAACAAAAAAAAATTATAGATTTGATGAGGAAGAACAGTTTCAATTATAAGAAAGACAAATGCAGTGTTCTTGTAACAATCACTGATTTACAGAAGATTCATTAGTATGCCTCTTTTATATAAAGTGCATTGATTTGTATAAAGAATAGTTCCGTATTTAGACAAGATAATTTTTCAATTAATAAAGTTATACGATATAAAATAACATTTTTTTAATTATGATATTTAACGGCTATTGACAAGGAGCAATGTTAGGAAGAGGTTTTAGCTGGGACATAATATGTTGATATAGTATAATATTCCCAGGTTATAGATATGTAAATATCGAAATATCGGACATCTCAATTTTTTTTATTAAATGTGGTTTTTTTTTAACTAATCTTTAAATTATATCAAATTGATACGGGATCTATTACAGTTAAATGTGTGACTCTATCTGGTATGTTCGGTGAAAAATTTATAGGTTTTTTTCTTTTTAAATTATATTTACGTTATCTTATTATATATATTTTTTGGCTTCCTCCCGAATTGATAATAGGTATGTCAGAATTATTGATAGATGTCGTGTCAGAGCGACACATTCAGTTAGGTATTCCAAGGACGTATATTAGATACACGTCCCTGGGTATTCCAGTGACATTCTGTCAACTAAAAATTCGTATTACACAATTATATAATACAGGTTCATGCATGGCCTCTTTATTGAGGTACCCGGTGTGCACAGGTAACATTTATTGAACCATATATTTGTGTCTAACGTTGTTTATCTTGTGTGTGTTTGAAATTATAATTCCACCTTTTAATGAATGATGTTCTGATAATAATATTATCCACCATTTTTGCTGATAATAAGTTTAAAAAAAATTATAAACATGACCTTTGAACATTTGAAATGAATATTGTTTTGTCATGATTCTGGACCATATTTTTGAAGAAAAAAAATTCTTCACGCAAATACAAGCTTTTGTCGATTGGCAAACATGCAGATATATAAAGTAATGCAGCACTTATAGTCACTACCAGTATTAATTCATTGAAGATAAGAGAGCCCCTTCTATGTCTAATGTCTCTATCTTTATAAGGATTAGGACGACATGGGAAAAAGGAGCGGAGATAGAGTGGCATAGTGAAAAAAAAATAACCGAATAGAGAACAATATAGAGAATGATCGACGAAAAGCGAGATAGTTATTGTAAAGGAGCGGAGATAAAGAGAGGCAAAGTGAAAAAAAAATGTTTGCTTGACAAAGTTATTGCTCGCTTTGATATTCTTAGTTATACAAAATCACACATCGTGTACCTAATTGGTATTCACGTGCACTAACTTGATGCTGGGAACAGTATATTAATATATATGTTCCTGCTTGATGTGTAAAGTTTCTGCATAGCATGGTTAAAAATAATTAGTATCCCATTTGTTATATCGTAGTGTCACGGTGTTACTTTGTTAAATTTATTTAGTTTGTTAATGATTGTGTAAATAAGAGTAAATCTGTATAAAAACTTCATACCATTTTAGTGATTGCCTATAGGCGTTTGATTATTGTTACATTTAAGATATATATATATATTTAGAACCTTTCATACATCTTAAAGTAAAAGATGTGTGTCCGAGTTAAACGACACAAGAACCCTGTAATACTAGTACGAGAGTATAGCATGTAAAAATTCCTACTCAATATGGTTGTATTGGAAATCTTTTCATACAGATTGACAACTCATGGTCCGACATGCATGTAATATTTGCCACATGACGCTCATAGTTCTTTCTACCATCATCATCTTATTCATTAAATATTACTGTAAACATCGATGGTTCACACCCAAACAAAATGGGAGTAATATACCTTCAGATCTTTTCCGTGGTATACACTTGTGAAATATATAGTCGAAATTCGGTATTGAAGTGAATCTACATCTCACAAACACAATTTTAGAATTACGATTTTGAGTGAACACCCACCAAACCAATACAAACGTATGGCAAGATATAACCATGCAGGCATTTAGTTTTCGTGAGACACAAGATAAATAATCACTCTCATAAACGTATATATGCATGCAGTTTCAAATATCAAGAACAAGCGATCGATGTCTATAGATCATTGTTAAGTCCGTTTACTAACTGTTCAGAGTCAGACATGTCAATAGTTCATTCTTGGAACCTTCATATACCCCATCCGACGATGGGAACTCTTTCTGGTAGTGTTGACAACATAAGCTTGTTTATCTGTACAAGTGGTTGCATGGCCTCTCCTGCCCCAACAAACAAATACGCTACTAGTCTGCTATCTCTGGAGCTCATCCTCAATGGCGCATATACGTCAGGAAACTTACAAGGATACTAGTAAAGATTTTTTCAAGAACAACGAGGTTGGGACGAACTGTTCTAAAATCGTCAATATCAGTAATACATTACTAAGATATGCCTTTAATTACAACAACTGTATTACTAATTTGGATTAATGACGGCTATCCTAAAAAAAATCCTCAAACAAATTAATGTATTAGCTTAGATTTATAATGTATGTATATTCATTAATGAAATAAACGATAATTGAATGGTATTCTTTTCACAAATAATTTATCTAAGTGATTGTCAAATGAATTAATTATGTAAGAATGAAATGTTAATAAGAAAATTAAAAAAAATCATGCATGTTGTACTGTTGTATTTTTTCAATTAAAAACTTTAAAATTGCGATAGTTTTACGATTGTTAGCATTTAAACATCGCCAGATTTAAATACAAGTTAAAGAATTCCGGTAAAGTAAATTAAACAGATGTGCAATGATTATTAATTGGGAAATGTAACATTTAATTTTTAAGATTAAAAGTACTATTCTTTTAACTTCATATCTTAACTTTATGCTAATTGCATAGAACGTAACCGAAAATTGTTCCATTTTAATATTGTAACACTTCCGGAATTAAAAAGTTGAATGTTAATTTTCAATTAATTTATACAATTTATTTATTGTTTCTCTATTGTCATCGGGTATTTCATCTGGGTATATTAAACACGCTATACTCTTTCTGTTAATCCATTCAAAATGACAATATTCACACCTGTGTTCGCTTTAATTCACACCTGTGTACGCCTGAGGCTAAATTGCTGCAAGGTAAAGTTCAAACGAATGCTCCTCAAATCGAGAAATAAACAATGACTTTACAAAATAATATACACACTCTGTTCACAAATATTTTGCATTGAAATGGTAATCAAAGTTATAATGGTAAATAAAACTTTAAATATTTTCAGTTCAATATCAGTAAAAATGTTCTATAGATATTTTATGAAAAAATCTCAATAATTTATGAAATTTATTCGAAAATATTCATATTTAGATAACTTCATATAGGAAGTTTTATTCAATCATTACAAAACGGTACACACATATTCATTTTCTTTCATTCTTATATTGTGGTTATTAACTACGACCAACGGTCATCTGTGCGCTTTTAATTACGTAAAATTCTGATAAGCAATTAAGACTTTAACAGATTTTATTTTTTCCCATGATTCAACAAATCGGGTTAAAACGTCACAACCCAGTGACGTAGGTCAACCAAAAAAGTTACAAATACTTGATTTTCTCCGTTATTAGAAAGAATATAAATTTAAAACTTTGTGAATGTGTTTTTTATGTTAAGATGAACATATTTAGATGATAAGTAAAAAATCGCTGACTTTCCCTTTAACACTGCTTTTAAATTATGTTTAAAGAAATGCATATTTATAAAGGAAGACCAGTAAAAATATCTGCAAATGTTGCATCTTTTTTTTTTACAACAAAATCCATATGAAAGATTTGACACTATATTTTAAATTCTATTATAAAATAGATTAAGTTAGCACTATGGTAAATTTAAATGGGTAATTATGGTTGCAAACTCCATTGGAAATTTGAATTGAGATTATGACCATATCTTGAGGGAAAGAATTTTTTGGGGGAAAAAAGGGGGGGGGGGGGGGTTTAAAGAAATTGTGGGGGGTCAATTTTTTCTCATTTCAGATTTCAGAAATTAAAAAGAATAATTCTTCAAATATTATTTTTTTTTCAAATTTCAAATATTGAAAAATTTCAAGAAGTAATCTTTAATTGGACAGTATGGCACATTAGATTTGTAAAATCTTTGACCACATTTATTTATTTGTTATGCTGAATCTAACCGTGTATTTAGATTTTTAATTTTGGGTCCAGTTTTCAAATTGGTCTACATTAAGGTCCAAAGGGTCCAAAATTAAACTTTGTTTGATTTTAACAAAAATTGAATATATGGGGTTCTTTGTTATGCTGAATCTAAACATGTATTTAGATTTTAGATTTTTGGCCCAGTTTTCAAGTTGGTCCAAATTGGGGTCCAAAATTAAACTTTGTTTGATTTCAACAAAAATTGAATATATGGGGTTCTTTGATATGCTGAATCTTATCATGTATTTAGATTTTTTATTTGTGGGCCCGCTATCAAATTGGTTCATATTGAGGTCAAAAGGGTCCAAAATTAAACTTTGTTTGATTTCAACAAAAATTGAATATATGGGGTTCTTTGATATGCTGAATCTAACCATGTATTTAGATTTTTTATTTGTGGACCCCGCTATCAAATTGGTTCATATTGAGGTCAAAAGGGTCCAAAATTAAACTTTGTTTGATTTCAACAAAAATTGAATATATGGGGTTCTTTGATATGCTGAATCTAACCATGTATTTAGGTTTTTGGATTTTTGGGCCCCGTTATCAACTTTGTCCACATTGAGGTCAAAAGGGTCCAAAATTAAACTTAGTTTGATTTTAACAAAAATTGAATTCTTGGGGTTCTTTGATATGCTGAATCTAAACATGTGTTTAGATTTTTGATAATGGGCCCAGTTTTCAAGTTGGTCCAAGTTTGGGTCCAAAATTAAACTTTGTTTGATTTCAACAAAAATTGAATATATAGGATTCTTTGATATGCTGAATCTAAACATGTATTTAGATTTTAGATTTTTGGCCCAGTTTTCAAGTTGGTCCAAATTGGGATCCAAAATTAAACTTTGTTTGATTTCAACAAAAATTGAATATATGGGGTTCTTTGATATGCTGAATCTTACCATGTATTTAGATTTTTTATTTGTGGGCTGGCTATCAAATTGGTTCATATTGAGGTCAAAAGGGTCCAAAATTAAACTTTGTTTGATTTCATCAAAAATTGAATTATTGGGGTTCTTTGATATGCAAAATCTAACCGTGTTTTTAGATTTTTAATTTTGGGTCCCATTTTTAAATTTGTCTACATTAAGGTCCAAAGGGTCCAAAATTAAACTTAGTTTGATTTTAACAAAAAATGAATTCTTTGGGTACTTTGATATGCTGAATCTAAACATGTGTTTAGATTTTTGATTATGGGACCAGTTTTCAAGTTTGTCCAAGTTTGGGTCCAAAATTAAACTTTGTTTGATTTCAACAAAAATTGAATATATGGGGTTCTTTGATATGCTGAATCTAACCATGTATTTTGATTTTGGACATTGGACCATAATAGGTAAATTAAAAAAATTGAAGTTCTTAGACCACATTCTTTCTGTGTCAGAAACCTATGCTGTGTCAAATATTTAATCACAATCCAAATTCAGAGCTGTATCAAGCTTGAATGTTGTGTCCATACTTGCCCCAACTGTTCAGGGTTCGACCTCTGCGGTCGTATCAAGCTGCGCCCAGCGAAGCATTTTATTACTTTTATCAACAAAACATAAAGAAGAAAGTGGTGGTACATGTACTTATTTTTTGGCCAAAACAAAGTGTTTTGAATGCTGGAGATCTCATGTCCCTTTTTTGGTCCTAAATTAATCTAGCAGTGAATTGTTAATGCAACCTTGTCCTGCAGCTATTCCAATCCTACATCAAAATGATATACAAATCACTTTAATAGAATAGAACTTACTGATGATAAATTCGTTAACCTATTCCTTTGCCTCCAATTTTATGCCCATTAAAGTAGAATGTTTGTTTGTTTTCCTTTGCAGTGACTTTCAAATTCACGTAAAAGATTTGATGATGTTATCGAATTTAATACAAATTTATTACTTAGTACATGTATCAGATTATTGGTTTATTTCACAAATGTTGGAGAAAGTTATCATAATATTCTGATGTATTTGTCACTGACCTGTTTTGTATTAATCACTGAATTATTTCTAATTTAAGGTATCCATCTGTAATGTCTAAAGGCAGTAAGGATGCTGATAATGTAGAATCATGGGAGACAACTACGATATTTCTCATCTCTTCCTATCAGTATATAACAGTGGCATTCTGTTTCTCACAAGGTCCTCCATTCAGAAAACCTATATATACTAACTGTAAGTAAACCTAACTGCTGTGTGTTTTCAAAAGAGAAAGTTTTTTGTTAATTTTTTGCTTTTTTTTTGGGGGGGGGGGGGGGGGGGAGGGGAGTAGTGTTTATTGTTCACCTTCTATTATAACATGTATAAGATTTAGAAAACTAAGTCAGCATTATTAAAACAGAAAAAAAATAGTATTTTGTGCATGTTGTCCATGTACTCAGAACTTAAGCTTCATAATGTTTTATAGTACTGGTAGACAGAACTCATTGTATGTTATAAAGAAATAGAAAATAAAAGATTTAAAATTTTTTTAATTTATTTCAGTACAAAAATTAAGTGACATTCTTAATCCAATGGTCTATTTCAGTTCCATACACATATTAAGGGAAATTTTTCATATAAGGATCTATTTCATTGTTTTATTCAGTAACACTGTTGTCTCCCATGCTATGAATGTCCCAGAATGCAATGGCAATAGACTTAAACTATTTGTCAAAGCTTTATATTTTAGAAGGTAGAAGACCTGGATACTTCATATCTTGTAGTCAGATACTTTATGTTCTAAAGTTTAGGTTTGGAATATGCACTTTGTCCTGAATACATCATTTATTATGAGTTATGGGACAACTATAATTGGTGATCAGTGTTAAAATTTCGTGGTTATTCTATTATCTGATACTTTAACCAATAGGTTGACTATATTTGGTATATGAAATGATTGTATGTTGTATATGTCTGTCTAGTAGGGGTCATCTGATCATGACCTCATTTCTTGTTCATTGGTCAGTGTAACATTTTTATGCCCCACCTACAATAGTAGAAGGGGCATTATGTTTTCTGGTCTGTGCGTTTGTTCGTTCGTCCGTCCGTCCTTCCATCTGTCCATCTGTCCCGCTTCAGGTGAAAGTTTTTGGTCAAGGTAGTTTTTGATGAAGTCGAAGTCCAATCAACTTGAAACTTAGTACACATGTTCCCTATGATATGATCTTTCTAATTTTAATTTTGGCCAAATTAGAGTTTTTACCCCAATTTCACGGTCCACTGAACATAGAAAATGATAGTGCGAGTGCGGCATCCGTGTACTATGGACACATTCTTGTAATGATTAAGTCTGTTTCTCTGATACTGTAAGCACTTGATCAATTGTATTTATTGTATGGAATGATTCTAAGGTGAACATGTGAGTATGGCAGAGTTCACTAATCTTTACTATATTTTTATAGTTCAAGACAATTTTAGGTCTATTTCACAAATACTGTAAGCAAATAGGTCAACTATTTTTGTGAATGGAATGATTGAAAGGTGTTCATGTCTATCTGGTATAATTCAACTGACTTGGATCTCATTCTCAGGGACAATTGGTCAACTATTTTATGTAATGGAATGATTAATAAGTGATCATGTCTCTCAGCTGGTATAACTCAACTGGTTTTGATCTCATTTCCATGAACAATAGATCAACATTTGATATCTGTAGTTTATCGTGAAGATTCAATCATGATCAGTAAAGCAGACATTTCAGTGTGTGCAATCTTGCTGGTGCTATGGTGTCTCTCAGAGCCATATAGTACTATTGTGATAAATATGATCTATATTGTTAATATGGTATATTTAAGTTCCATATTTAGTAAATTGTTAGTATTTTTTCTATTTCAGTACCATACTTGGTGACATTGATGCTTTTATTTTCTTTCTCAACATTCCTACTGTTGTTACCACAAAGACCAATTCTGAACTTTTTCTCAGTAAGTAGTATGATTATTCATAGACATTGTAAAAAAAAAAGGCAGAAGATACCAAAGGAAGAGTCCAAACTCATAGCATGAAAAGAGATGGTTGAAAACAATGTAAAGACATACAACTGTCTACAAAACACTGTGTAAAAAAATAAAGACTGATAAAAGCAAACCCCATTTTTAGGCTGGGGTCATCTCAGGTTCTCTGGAGGGTGAGCAGTATATAAATTTAATATCCATATTGTTGGTGATATAATAACAATCCAATTACCTGTATCTTAAAAATACTGTATTTAAAGATTTAAAGACATGACATCATTTTGAATTGTAGTTAAAAAAAGGACCTGTGTTTTATTATAAAACAAATTGTTTTGTGCAGAAAGCTGATATTCCTGATGTTTGAAGAATGGATGTTTGAATATATTTGTTCTATGAACTATTTATGACATTGGAATTGACCTAATTAATACTGCTTCAAAACAGAAACTGAAAGTAGAAATTTCAGAAAAGGTTTATTTTCACATCATAGTTCTTCAACATGTAATAAAAAATGTCAAAACTCCCATTTTTGGGGGACTTTTAGCAAAATCAGTAAGATGTAATATTATATATGATGTTTTCCTTTACAGGTGATGGCTCTGGATGAAAAACCTTTTATGTTCAGACTGTTTCTATTTTTATTTCCTGTTGTTCACTTTATTTTATGTGGCATCTTTGAGGTAAGTTGTTAACCAGCTATGAATAATATATCCATTAGAATATTTATTATTGGTTGAAATAAAGGGGTTTTATTATGGTATGAGTGAATGATTGGTCTTGTTGTCTGACTACAAAACTGTTCATGATAACTTGAGTTATAGTTGACTGATCCTTTGAAATTTTAACAATGTATTGCCTCTCCTTTGTCCCATCAAATGGCTTTTAGTATTCTTAAACAGTGTCACACTTATTTTGATTATATCTTTTATTTTGAATAAGAGTTTGATTTCGTTTTATTACTTTGAATTTTTATGAAAACTATCTGAATTCAACATTTTTATAAATCATTTTCCATACAACACAGACATACAGCCATAGGTTTTTAACCAGAAAAATGTACAAATTTGTACTAGACACAACCATTTTTACACCTCCACACTGAAGAGAGTGCAAGTGCTGCCATTGGTCAAGAATGATGTGGTTGAATGGGCATAAATTTTGTCTACCGGTAGATGGTGCAGCATTGTTATCACGAATGTTGGCTTAATCAGCCAAGGGTGGAGAAGAGGGGACTGGATCGTAACCCTTGGCTAGTGACGATGAACATCTGATGCCATATATCATTTCATATTCAGGACAAAAACATATTATTATCATTATTCAAATTAAGGAGATGTGGTATGATTTCAATTGAGACAACTATCCACAAGAAACCAAAGGAGGAAGATTTCAAAAACTACAGGTCACCATACAGCCTTCAACAATGAGCAAAACACAAATTGTATAGTAATCAATAAAAGGTGCAGGCATGACAAAATGTGAAACAATTCAAAAGAGAAAACCAAAGATCGGATTTATGAAACCTTAAAAATTGGGTCTGTGACAACTAGTATTTATATGTTCTACAAGTCCTTAGTCAGTAATGGAGAGAAAAATTCAAAGATGATTTGGTATATTTAGTGAACATATGTCATCTGCATTTGCAGATCATGTCCCAAAATTTGTTAAAAAATTGTTAAGGATAGTGAATTACTGTAAATTCAGATATTTTTGCGATAAAATTATTAATAAATGCAAAAAATGAGACAGTATCAGATTTGCAAATATAAAAACTTGCATTCATAATTTCAGTAGTGATTTTTCCTTCATAAATTTTTACAATCGCATTTATTATATTTCAAATTTTTGCCAATGGTCAAGGATTCACTATAATAAATGCGCACATTAATTTCTGAATTTACAATAATTGCTTCAATTACTTAAATAAAGTGTTCATGTAAAAGAAAGGATGGACATAAATTTGTAAGAAAGTACTAGAACTGAGATATATACATTGCATCTATGTGATTTGATCAGAGGGAAAAAGCACAATGTAGAGGTTTAACAAATATATATCTTTGTTTAAGTCATTCAAAAATAAAACTCATAACTACTGCTCAGACAAGTTATTCTAAAAATGATGAATTTGGAGACCGTAGAAAAAAATAAACTTACAGAAGTTAAGTTTCCTAAAGCAGGGGTGACCGTCTTACTTATTTGAAGAGCACGTTTTTTACAAATTGACTGGTTACTTTAATTTTTTAGTTCTTTGTTCTTTTTTTTCTGGTTACTTATCTTTTTTGATGTCATGTTCTTTTTTTTCTGGTTATTTATCTTTTTTAATACTTTGTTCTTTTTTTTCAGTATGCAATCACAGACAACAAAATAACCAAAAAACTTATACACAAAATAAAACCAGAAAAATTAGGCCCTCTTCATCAGAAATCTGTTTTGAAAGAACTGGAGTTATCTGATTGGCCACCTGTAGGTCAGGTGACTTACAGTGAAGAGGAAGACGTTTTGATGCAGAATATTCCAGCACTGGCTTTGACCTCAAACTCTATCAACTAATAAAATAAGATGATTTGTTAGAAGATGATCAAACCACTGTTGAGCAAATTGATAGCAGAATCTTATATACAGCCAACATCAATTAGTATTTTATTTAATGAATTTAATTTGATAGGTGGGACATTTTTTTTCATTGTGGAAAGACATAGACAGCAGATCAAATGTTGGATATTTTAATTGAACAAATGCATACAACGAAGTCACTAAAAATTATAATTTTATATAATTGAATTAATCCCAAAATTGTTCTTTTAATCAAGTGATTTAAATATTCATATTGACCAGTTTTATTTTGACTTCATTTGGACCATTTGTTAAAAAAGGGCATTCAAATCTTATGTTTAGTGAATAAAGATTAGATCTCACAATGTATTTTATGCAATCAAAATATTATTGATGTATAGTTGGTTTTTTTTTATTTTGTGAATTCCTATGTGTTACAATTCAAAAGATATCCAAACCACAATCAAAATGCTGCTTTAATATTTATAATGAATAAAATAATAAGCTATCAACTTTATATTTGACAAAGTTAATAATGTTCCGAAGTAGGAAAATTATGAAAACCTATTGAAATTGTCTGAAGAAGTTTTACTAGAGGAACAGTGCTTTCAAAATGTTTTTATCATTGTGTTTCAAAGTATTTTCTCAGGCTGAGCATAAGTCATGATGTTTTCTTTGAATAGAACATCAAGGCCTATTGAATTAAATCAAGTAATGTATTGTGGTTGGATACCTTTATTTTCAGCAGTTTGTTTATTTAAGAGTATGACACAAGTCTAAGTACTCAATACCATCCCTTTGTTCTTTACAATATGAACAAATTTTAATGATCAAATATATACTTAATATGTTACAATATTTGAAATATGTAATGAAATTTGTAATATTTGATATGTTTTAATATTTGAATTTTTTTTATTATTGTAATAATTTATTCTGCTTTCTAGTCTTATTTGATCAACCCTGTAAAAAATTTATCAGCAAATCTTCTGAACGGATTTTCTATTTTTAGATTAATGTCAATGCATAACAATTGCTTAATTGTATGATTTGATTTTTAATATTATGTATACTGGGGACTTCTTGTTGCCAGCTAATTCAGTAACTTTCTATATTATTTCTAATTAATGGACAGTTATTGTTGAACACAACCCATTTAGTTCTTATTATTAGAACCAGAAACTGATAGTGTATATCTAACATAAGTTTAAGAGCAGTTTAAATTTAATTTGTTGATTAGTTTTCCATAGATCTTTACCTTTATGGTATATTGCATTTGCCACTTTTTGCAAATTGTTAATATGGGGACATTTAATGTTTTGAGAAGCCTTTTAAAATAAGACATTGTAGGTGTTTTTTAATGTAAGTTGTTAACAAAAAGTATTGTACAAGTTTACACTTGTATATCTTAAGTATGGTAGCTTTACTGTCTTTTAACATCATTTTATATAATGCATATTTTTCTCACTTCAACTTTGGACATATGATAATACATTTGTTAGTCTATCTGTGCTTCATTCCAAGCATGGCTTACTATACAATGCTTAAGTGAATATTTACGAAAGTGTTAACAATGCCGTACGGTGACCTATAGTTGTTAATTTCTGTGTCATTTGGTCTCTTGTGGAGAGTTGTCTCATTGGCAATCATACCACATCTTCTTTTTATACAACCGCAAAAAAAATTTTGTGGTCGTATATTGGTATGACATTGGCGTCTAACTTTAGTTTAAGTGAATGGATCTCAATGAAGTTTTACCATAAGGTTCAATACCACAAAAGGAAGGTGGGGATTGATTTTGGGGGTTATGGTACCAACAGTTAAGGAATAAGGGGCCAAAAAGGGGCCAAAAATAAGCATTTTTGTAACTTCCAGACATAACTTGTGTGTAAGTGTATGGATCTCTCTGACATTGTACCACAAGGTTCCATATCACAAAGGGAATGCTGGGATTGATTTTGGGGGTAATTGCCTCCAAATTTTAGGAATTAGGGGCCAAAAAGGGGCAAAAAACAAGCATTTTTCTAGTTTCATGACAATAACTTGTGTGTTAGTGTATGGATCTCTCTGACATTGTATCACAAGGTTCCATATCACAAAGGGAATGCTGGGATTGATTTTGGGGGTAATTGCCTCCAAATTTTAGGAATTAGGGGCCAAAAAGGGGCAAAAAACAAGCATTTTTCTAGTTTCATGACAATAACTTGTGTGTGTGTAAGAGTATGGATCTTTATGAAATTGTACTACAAGGTTCCATATCACAAAGGGAAAGCTGGAATTGAGTTTGGGGGTAATTGACCAAAAAGCTTAGGAAGAAGGGGCCAAAAAGGGGCCAAAAATAAGCATTTTTCTAGTTTCCAGACAATAACTTGTGTTCAAGTGTATGGATCTATCTGAAATTGTACTGCAAGGTACCATACCACAAAGGGAAGGCTGGGATTGATTTTGGGGGTAATTCCCTCAAAATGTAAGGAATTATGGGCCATAAAAGGGCAAAAAAACAAGCATTTTTCTAGTTTCAGAACAATAACTTGTAAGTGTATGGATCTTTATGAAATTGTACTGCAAGGTTCCATATCACAAAGGGAAAGCTGGGTTTGAGTTTTGGGGTAAATGCCCTAAACATTTAGGAATTTCAGGCCAAAAAGGGGCCGAAAAACAAGCATTTTTCTAGTTTCCAGACAATAACTTGTGTTCAAGTGTATGGATCTCTCTGAAATTGTACTTCAAGGTACCATACCACAAAGGGAAGGCTGGGATTGAGTTTGAGGGTGATGAATCATAAGGGGGTTCAAAAAATTTGGGGGAGGGATTTTTTTTTCTTTAGAATTTTCCATTTTAAATTGGTTATTTCTGATTTATATATAAAAGCAAATAATAATGATATGGTTTGAATAGGTAAATTAAAAATTTTTAAGTTCTTAGACCACTTTCATTCTGTGTCAGAAACCTATGCTGTGTCAAATATTTAATTACAATCCAAATTCAGTGCTGTATCAAGCTTGAATGTTGTGTCCATACTTGCCCCAACTGTTCAGGGTTTGACCTATGCGGTCGTATCAAGCTGCGCCCCAGCGGAGCATTTTATTTATATTGGTTCTTGAAGCTTTGTTAAAATGTTCACATTAAGACAAAATTTTGAATTTTTGATACCTATAAAGTTATATTTCTGAAATAATGAAAATAAAAACTTGCAATCATTAATCTTGAGAAATTTGCATAATTTTTGTGATGTATTCTGTAGAACAAAGAACTTAGATCAAATTTAGACATATATAAAGATGATGATATATTTAAATGAACACAATGATAGTATTATTTGTATAATTGTCTTTGTACTTGATTTGATTTGATATTCCTTAAATTATTTTTCTATGAAGATACTTGTATAAAACACGAACTGCCAAAGGAATATTTTACATTCCAAACTCTTATGAGTCTTCCATTAGAAAATCAATGTCTCAACATGTTTTCATTAGTATTTATTGTGTATTCATAGTATTAGATTTTCACAAAGTTTTATCGTAATGCTGTCATTTTAATGAATTCAATGCATACATTTGTTTTGTTCATTGAACTACAACTGCAACCTTCACATTTAATTGTTTATTTGTGCAAACTATAAAAGAGATGGGGTATTTTTGCAAATTATACATGTTCTTGTAAAATGTGGTGTTTTGTTGTTCTATATAAAGAGCAGTCTTTATCCAGGAACCTCTGAAATTCGTTTATTTAATTCAATGTTTATTCTTCATTATACGACTGCCTATGAAACTTGCTTAGTCTTAAAGATCATAGTAGCTGTTATCAGTTCATTTGTTTATTTCTTAATTTTATCACCCCCTTTAAAGCTTATTAATAATTTGCTGATTTCAACTAAAACTGACCAGAATAACCTATTTAATTTTTTTTTTTTTTTTTTTTATAAATTTCAATATTGATATGACTGAAAACATGGCTGTTAAAAAGCAATTTTTAATTCTGATTGTCCTTTCTTTGTATCAGACTACTACAGTATGTCTGAACTTTAAAAGGAAGGCCAATTAGCAGAGAACCTCTTAAAAGATGTCTTACTGATCAGTATACATGTTGGGTTGATGTAAAGTTTAATAGTATGTAATATTTAATTGAAACAATATTTCATTTGTGTTTAAACAGTATGCTTGACTGTATCTTATCAATGTTTTAATGTTTTTAAGTTTTATATATGGTTGTTTTCCTGATTGTCTGTCCATTTTAATCTAGAATCATTAGACTTCATGATATATTGGTGGTTTGTAATTATATTTACATAACTCATTTATTCATAGCAGGATTAAAATAGTTTGGCTTTGCCAATTTGTCCATCATTGGCTCTCTGTATTTTTCTACCAAGTGAAAAACCTTTGTCAAATTTTGTTTGAGATTCTGTGTACAACAAACCCTTTCTTGATTGATTGGCTGTTTTCTGTTCCACTTGTTTTTTGTTAACTTGACCAAAAATTTTGAATCATAAACTGTTATTTTTTTATTATTTGTTAACAATTGTGCAATACTTTGGCTATATTTATTGGTTTATTTAGGCGATAGTGAACAATAAAATATCTTATTGCTGTAAACAGGGATATATATTTGTGTGTTATATTATTTTTTATATCAATGCATACATTTTTACCCATTGAAAGATAAGTGTCCCTTTCTCGTAGACCTTATTGCTTTTTATACGACCGCAAAAAAAATTTTGTGGTCGTATATCGGAATGACGTTGGCGTCGTCGTCGTCGTTGTCGTCGTCGTCCGAAGACACATTGGTTTTCGCACTCTAACTTTAGTCTAAGTGAATGGATCTCTATGAAATTTTACCACAAGGTTCAATACCACAAAAGGAAGGTTGGGATTGATTTTGGGGGGTTATGGTACCAACAGTAAAGGAATTAGGGGCCAAAAATAAGCATTTTTGTAACTTCCAGACATAACTTGTGTGTTAGTGTATGGATCTCTCTGACATTGTACCACAAGGTTCCATATCACAAAAGGAATGCTGGGATTGATTTTGGGGGTAATTGCCTCAAAATTTTAGGAATTAGGGGCCAAAAAAGGGGCAAAAAACAAGGATTTTTCTAGTTTCATGACAATAACTTGTATGTAAGTGTATGGATCTTTCTGAAATTGTACTACAAGGTTCCATATCACAAAGGGAAAGCTGGAATTGAGTTTGGGGGTAATTGCCGAAACGTTTAGGAATTTGGGGCCAAAAATAAGCATTTTTTTAGTTTCCAGACAATAACTTGTGTTCAAGTGTATGGATCTCTCTGAAATTGTACTGCAAGGTACCATACCACAAGGGGAAGTCTGGGATTGATGATGGGGGTAATTGCCTCAATATTTTAGGAATTAGGGGCCAAAAAGGGGCAAAAAACAAGCATTTTTCTAGATTCAGGACAATAACTTGTGTGTAAGTGTATGGATCTTTCTGAAATTGTACTACAAGGTTCCATAAGATGGGTTTGAGTTTTGGGGTAATTGCCCTAAATGTTTACTGGTAGGAATTTGGGGCCAAAAAGGGGCCAAAAAACACATTTTCTAGTTTCCAGACAATAACTTGTGTTCAATTGTATGGATCTCTCTGAAATTGTACTGCAAGGTACCATACCACAAAGGGAAGGCTGGGATTGAGTTTGGGGGTGATGAATCATAAGGGGGTTCAAAAAAATTGGGGGGGGGGGGGGGATTTTTTTTTCCTTTTTTTTTCTTTTTTTCCTTTTTTTTTTCTTTTAAAATTTTCCATTTTAAGTTGGTTATTTCTGATTTATATTTAAAAGCAAATAATAATGATATGGTAGGAGATGCACACCAAACAGGATGTGTAAATTATTATATAATAAGTATTGTGCAATAGCAAAAAATTTTCAATTGCACAGTATTGCACAATAGCAAGAAATCTTCAATTGCACAGTATTGCGCAATAGCAAGAAATCTTCAATGGCACAGTATTGCGCAATAGCAAGAAATATCCAATAGCACAATATTGCGCAATAGCAAGAAATTGTCAATTGTACAGTATTGCGCAATAGCAAGAAATATTTAATTGCACAGTATTGTGCAAAAGAAGATACTTCATATAAATTGCTTATTTCTTGACCAATTTCAATGGGGTTTTATTCTTGAATTCTTGGGGTTCTTTAATATGCTGAATCTAACCGTGTATTTAGTTTTTGGATTTTGGGCCCCATTTTTAAATTGGTCCACATTGAGGTCCAAATGGTCCAAAATTAAACTTTGTTTGATTTCATCAAAAATTGAATTATTGGGGTTCTTTGATATGCCGAATCTAACCGTGTATTTAGATTCTTAATTTTTGGTTCCGTTTTCAAATTGGTCTACATTAAGGTCCAAAGGGTCCAAAATTAAACTTAGTTTGATTTTAACAAAAATTGAATTCTTAGGGTTCTTTGATATGCTGAATCTAAACATGTATTTAGTTTTTGGATTATGGGCCCAGTTTTCAAGTTGGTCCAAATCGGGGTCCAAAATTAAACTTTGTTTGATTTCAACAAAAATTGAATATATGGGGTTCTTTGATATGCTGAATCTAACCATGTATTTGGATTTTTGATTTTTGGGCCCCGTTATCAACTTTGTCCACATTGAGGTCAAAAGGGTCCAAAATTAAACTTTGTTTGATTTCATCAAAAATTGAATTCTTGGGTTTCTTTGATATGCTGAATCTAACCATGTATTTAGATTTTGGATATTGGACCATAATAGGTGAATGTCCAATTTAAAATTTTTAAGTTCTTAGACCACATTCATTCTGTGTCAGAAACCTATGCTGTGTCAAATATTTAATCACAATCCAAATGCAAAGCTGTATCAAGCTTGAATGTTGTGTCTATACTTGCCCCAACTGTTCAGGGTTAGACCTCTGCGGTCGTATCAAGCTGCTCATTTTATTGAGAATTGGAATCTGCAACACTTGAACTATTGACATCACAGACAATCACTTTTCTTAAGTTGCACCAGACATTTCCTCTTAAGACCATAAAATTTTACTGGAATGGCTGTGATGTCCAGAAATGGCAGACAAATAGCTTAAGGTCTATTTAAACTGCTGATTTCTACAAACCACAGAATGTATTAGCAAGATTAGATATTTCCATGGTTCTGCCCACTAGAAAATTTTAATGTTTACTTAACAGTAGAACAGTAATATTGAAATTTATATTAAATTGAATATTTGAACAATCATGATTTATTTGACACAAATTAATGTACTGCTATTTTATTTTCATTTTCATTTTTATAAAAGTGATAAAGCCCTATCAGAAAGTTAATTTGTAAAATTTCTATTGTAAATAAATGTTGTAACTTGAGTAGAACAATTTTCATGACTTTCTAGTTTTTAATAAGCTATTTAAGGATGTATGCTGCTGAAAATAGAAAAAACATCATTTTTTGTTATTAAAATCTTTTTCAG